ATGCCAAATTCTTAGATTTAAAAGAAGTGTTTTCCTTGGACTTGCCAAGGTCTGCGACCAGTCTCTTTCATTACTCAGCTATCATAACCTGGCAATCTGATCTGAAGTTGTTTTTTTTACTGTATTTGTGTACATGTTTGATACAGAAAATGTACCATAATCATGTTTTTTTCTGTTCCTACTGCAGATGTTTCTAAATGAATTTATGTAAATTCAGTTCCTTAGTTGATATTTCTGTAAGTACAACGTCGGTTTATATTTTGGAACGCTGAACGTGACTGACCACATTCACTCTAGAGCAAAGCAAGCCCAGGCACAGCAGATGGACATCCTCTACGCGCCAAGTTCACACGGGAATCCAAACAGATGGACACATGAAGCGTAGCACCTGCTTTTTGGCACCACACCTCAACACTCGCAGTGTGATTTAGAATGGAAAAAAAAAAATCACAGAGGGATTTATATCTTACATGGTTACAAGGCATTTATTAGCCACTGGAGGTTGAGTTTTATCAATGAGACAGAAGTCTCTGCAAGCTGTAACTCAACTCTTCAGCTCTGCTCACCAAAGGTGTTTCTGTTTGTTAATTTACAGTTTTGTTTCCCCATTAGCCAAATTTCTCTCTAAATGTCCACTGAATCCATCACATTGTTTTGAATAGATGGGCTGAAGGTGCTCAGGGAATACATTTTTTTAAGGGTTTTCTAAGGGTTGCAAAATGCACGCTTCTCTGCTCTCACAGCATAATTTTAGCACATCCGCTGGGGTCTGATAAGGTTGTAATCATTAGCAATCAGCAATAATTACCTCCAGGTGCTGACATTTCTTGCCTTCAGAGATTACTGTTTTGTTTTTCTTCCTCACAGATTGTAACCGCCTCCCCTCCAACCACCTCCTGAAGAAAATGACAGTATTTGCATAGCATTTTACAGTATCGTGTTTCCTCAACATGTTTCTTTTGGATCTCTGCACCTCCGTTGTCAAACTCCTATTGTTTTGCTCCCTCTAAGTCCGAAGCCCACCAAAGGAGCTCAGCAAGTGTCATGCATTGTGTGATTCCCCTTCAACTGCCTTTGATTTACAGTGTTGTTTTCTTTGTTTTTGAATCAGCATTTGGACGACTTGTTATTCAGTGGCTCACCCGCCGAAAAACATGTTGCAGAGCAAAGGTGTCGTAGCATCAGCTTCACAGTAGCATTTGGGAAGAAGAGAAGATTATTAATGAAGTGCAACATCCCGTGTTTTGAATGTTTTTAATTCTCTCTGTTGATGATGATGTTTGTCTTGGTCTTTAATCATGTGCAGATGGCAGTAGGAGGTGGTTGGCAGAGACAGTATTCATGATCTGGACGGGAGGAGACGCAGTCCATTTAATAACTGAATGAAATCTCACACCTGTTGCCTGAGAGGATCTGAGAGAACTCAGTGTAGATGATGGAAAAATGATTTAATTCTGCTGTGAAACCATTTTTGAATTACTGTAGTGGTACATTAACATCTGGGAATATTGAAATTTTATGGGGGGGGGGGGGCAATAAATAAATACATTATATTGAACAGGATCAAATACAACACAGTTAAAGGAATAGTTTGTCATTTTAGGAAAAATGCTTCCATTCCTTACCAATAGTTAGATGAGAGGATTTATACCACTCTAATACATGTATGATAAATGTGAAGCAACCCAAGCAGTTGGTTAGCTTAGTTTAGCATAGAGGCTACAAGGAAACGGGGAAACAGCTTGTGCGCTCATCAAGGTAACAACATCCACCTACTATTTCTTGGCTGAACAATGTTTCTCATGGAGTCTCCACTGGTTGGCTTGCAACTGCTACTTGCCAAGAAATAATCGGATACATGACGCCCACAAAACTACAACTTGATGGTTTTACACTTTTGTTACCTTTAGACAGAGCCAGGTTAACTGACATCCCCTTGTTTCAAGTCTTTGTGCTAAGCTCAGCTAACCAGCTGATGGCTCTAGATACTGTGCAGATGTGAAAGTGACAGATGTGAAGTCTTTTCGTCTATCAGCAGAAAAGAAAAGCAAATAACTGAATTTCAAAAAATCTTAAGAGACTCCTTTAGCAGTTGGGATTAAAAAGATTTCATGGGGGATATGGTTGCACCTTCCAAGTTAGCATCAAATACAATACAGTTCAAGTATAAGTAAATGAAATAAATAAGGTATAGTGATATCATTCAATGTTTAACATGTACTGTATATTGGCCTATAACAGTCAAAGGAATATTTCCTGAACTGGATTGTTAAATACCCCTGTGAAATTTTAGCAGTAATGCAACAGGCCTGAATCAGTGACTGGTCGTATTTCTGAGTGTAAACTGTATGTTACTGCAGAGGTCATGTTGATATCAATGTATTTACTTTGACTTGGAGCAGTTAAAATGTCTCCTGATACACAAGCAATTTGAAACAATTATTCTTAAAGCTGCTGATTAGCTTCTCCATCTGTGAGCCCACTGCTAATCTGCCCAAACACAAACTTCCTGCCAAACAAACAATGCTTTATAATGAAGTGGGTCTTTGCCAGGAGGCCATCAGTGGTACTGGCTGCACTGCTGTTATTATTTTTATTCCACCCCTCCACACCCCACCACCCCCTAAAAGCTGGGTCTCATTCACACACATTAATTCAGCCAATCAGATCTAAACAATGTTCATTAGCCAAAACAGCTGAGCTCAGTTCCATTCAGTTTTTCCGGTCTAATTGAAATGTACGGCTCGGCCCTTCTGGGAGAGCATCATTAGCAGGACACATCATGCTAATGCATTTTAAAGACATCCAGCTCAAGGGCTAATTAATATTCCCCAGAAAGAACTGCAAATCTCTCCTGTAAGAGCCACTTCATAACACCAGCTTTCATAATATTTACTAAAACATTTTCTATAGGATTTCAAACCGAGGCTCGTGAAAATGCAGCGATCAAACTCCAGAGGTTCAGAAACAATGGGATTAATTGGATTGTAGATCATTTCAATAGGTTTGACATAGCAAAGGCAAACATTGCTAATTATAAACAAGATGACACATATATCATGTGTTTTAAGTGTGAAGACTTTTGAGAAATGTTCCAGTGAAACCTGCAGTACCATTTAACTTAAAGGGACACTCCACCAATTTTACACATGTTCAGTTTTCTCATCCCCGCTAAGCTTGTGAAAACAGCCGTGCAATATTTCCTGCGCAGCTTTTAAAGCCTGAGGAAATCACCTCAAGTCCAAGTCGATACAACCCTGATGACATCACAGTGACATCACTTGGGTTGTCTCAGCTTGGACTTGAGTCTTCCAGTCTACAACAGAAAGCCTGCCTTACGCTTCATGTGGGCTTTGAAACACATGGGCATCAAGGAGGTAATGAAAGATGCTATCCAGTTGCATTGTGGGAAGTGTAGGATCCAGTGTTTTTGGAACTTGACCCACACCTGGGACTAAAAGATCAAGATATCTGCTGTTTCGATTTTGTCTTTATAAACATCTCTCCCGTGCAAGTTCCCCCTGTAAAGCTGGAGTGTCCCTTTAGTTTTAAAACATTGGCATACAGTGTGAAAACCACTATGACATGCAACTTGTGTTTTTGTGCAATAACTTTAAAAAAAACCTGTCAAGACACATTTTATCTGGGGTAAAATGCATTTAAGATAGTGAGATACAACAAATACATTCATCAAGTAGTGCAATTTAATATGAATGAGAAGCACTTACAATGCTTTTTTTTTTTTTAATTAAGAGAATTACTATTTTGTAAGAAAATTGTATCAACCCAACCACAATGCAGTTCACTTCCTCATGTGTGCTCTATAATGCATGTGCACATTGCTTAAAATAACCCAGATGTTTACCTTGAAAACAAATGCATGGCAAACATGTAAACACTTAATACAAAACGTTGTTAACCCACTGTGCATGAATGTGTAGAAATCCATTGTCTAAAAAAAAAAGAAAAAAAAAAGAAAAAGAAATCACATTACATGGCTCATCTCTCCACAGAAAGCCAATCAAATTCCAGTTGCTCTCAGCAAGTCCAGCACATAGGAGAGTTTAACATCCCATCATGTCTGCACAAATCCTGTCCAACCGTTTACTTCTACATGTCCTGCTGTTTTTACCACGAGATTTGATTTTCTTCCTTGTAAATTATTTGTAAAAATGAAATAATTAAAAAGAATAAAATTCCAAATAAAGCTCAAACAGTAATTAACAATGACACTTCCTTTTATTTCACAGGAGTCGACACACCACCTCACAACAGCATGTAAAAGCTTAAATGAGAAAGACAAAGGATGAGGCTCAAATTCCTCACTTCAGTACTAAACACCACATAGGCCTACTACGATATATATATACAAAGGTTCGTGGGATTCAGCCCCACGGTTACTTGCGTAGTTGAAAAAGACAGCGCGGAATAAATACACGTCTATTTTACATCAATGTTTAATATAAACAAATACCTGTCGTACAAATTGCACTTGCCGATGGCTGTGAGGTAAAAACACATTGTGAGCACTACATGACTACAGTACAGTCACTCCGACAAATGCCTCGCTCCTGTCCAATGCTTTTAAATAACAACCACTTTTTATTACACTGCGCCTCGTTTCAAGATTAAACTGTGACCCATCACGAACCTGGGTTAACTTACAAGACATCCACCTCCCCTTAATACATTAACTTCCTGAATATATAACCGAACAGCTGACCCAATAGAATAAGAAATAACCAAAAAAAACAAAACAACAACAACAACAAAAAAAAAAACATCAGGAACAAACCACTGGAGCGTCTGAGCGCTCTTTGGCAGAAGTGTCAATTCACTGACACCTGTTTTATGGCAAAGTGCATACAACCGTTATGGTTCATTCAGATTTAGCGAACTGGATTTTAAGGTCGGTATTAAGCCTATCTGTATCTTTAACTGATTTGGTGCATCTTGGAAACATCATTGGCCCCGATGCCTCTTTTTTTTTTATTTTTATTTTTTTTATGAAAAAGGAAAATATGGCTTCCAGATACGTCTAATGATTTGATGTTTGCTTTCTCTGATGCAAAAACAAAAAAATCGACCCACTTAGGCTTTAAGGTAAGGTACAGCTCTTCCCCCAAAAGACGCACAAGCTAAAAGGAGTCAACGCCCGCTGCTGTACGCATCTTTCCTCCAGGCTGTTGTAATCCACCTCAACAAAAGTTGAATGTTTTCCCTCATAGCTGTGATTCAGAGTGAGACAGCTTTGCGGTCCCCACCAGGCTGCTGTCACTGTTGTCCAAGCCGGCGCAATCCGACCATATCCCCAGAGTGCCGGGCTCCAGAGAGGACACGAACCCGCCGGAGCACCGTGTCAGGTCGCAGGAGCTGATGTGCAGCCTGCGGTCGGCTTGCCTCGGGCAGCACAGCAGCCTCTTGAAAGCCTTCCTAAAGTCCGGGCTCCGACAGTAAATGATGGGGTTAAACGCCGAGTTCACGTACCCCAGCCAGTTTAGGAACACGAAAAGGTCCTTGTCCACCACCTCGGCGCAAAAGACCCGCACGACGTTGACTATAAAGAAGGGCAGCCAGCACAGGGTGAACGTCCCCATGATGATGCCGAGTGTTTTGAGTGCTTTCTGCTCCCTGAGCGCCAGGATTTTAGACGGCCTCTTCTTGCACTTGGAGGTCAGTCCGGTTAAGGTGTTGTGAAACCTGCCCTCGCACTTGTCGATTTTCCTCAGCTGTTTTTTCGCCTCTCTATACACGCGGGCGTAAACAAATATCATGACCAGTAGAGGAATGTAAAAAGATATGATGGATGAGGAGATGGCATATGCCCTGTTGGTGACAAAGTCGCAACACTCGGGGTCCTCGTAGCAGGCTGTGTCCACGCTGTCCCGGGACCAGTGCATCAGGATGGGCAGGAAGGAGACGAGCGCAGAGATGGCCCAGACTATGCACACCACAGCTTTGGCCCGAGCTTTGGTCAGCAAGCTTTGGTAGCGGAAAGGCGAGGTGATGGCCACGTACCTGTCAATGGCGATAACGCACAGGGTCTCGATGCTGGCGGTGACGCAGAGGACATCCACGGAGATCCAAAACTCGCAGAAAAAGGAGCCGTACAGCCACGAGCCGCGCACCTCGAGCGCGGCGCCAAACGGCACCACCAGCAACCCCATGATGAGGTCCGCGCTCGCCAGTGACACGATGAACACATTGGTGAGCGTCTGCAGCCTCTGCGTCCTGGCTATAGCCACGATGACCAGGATATTCCCGAACACAATGCACAGGACGATCAAACCCATCACCAGGCTCATCCCCGCCATCCACTGCTCGGACGCGGCCGCGGAGGACCCCGGTGCGTCCGACGCCTCGCTCCCCGTGCCATTCTGGAAGTTCACCGGCGAGGACGCGCCACCGTCCCCCATGACGGGCTGCTGCGCTGTGTGCGGGACCAGGTCGAGTTCATCAACGCAGTGCAAGCAAGCCTTTCCAGTGTGTCGCTGTCTCACGAGCCCACAGCTCTACCCCCGTCGCGCGCCACCTCCATCTGGGGCTCTTCTCTCGCCCTCAAGCCTGCGCGAGCTGCTGCACCGGCCGGGATCGTCAAATCAGGCTGTGACATCACTGCTCCTCAGGACCAATCAGACAGCTCAGCAGATAAATTGTCCTGGGAGTGAAGTTGAGGACACAAACAACACCTGTACCTCAAAGAGGAGATATATCCAATCTCAGTTTCATATGATTTACGAGTAAATGCGCATGAATGAAATAAAACACACAGCACTTCCATTGAGGTGGAAGTGGAAATTTCTGGCTGCAAAACTGATGCAAAACTGTGTGTGATTGTTATCTATGAAAAATCTGCGAGTCTTTGGGAACATGAGAAGCCAAATATGGACCTCCAGAATCCACCATGACATTGTGAACTAGAGGGATTTCCCTGTTTTCATCACTTGCCATCACAAACAATATTTGTTTTTCCACTTGTCCATTTTTATATTTTTATCAGTAAGAATACATTCCACGGCCACTGGGGTCAGGCCCAACCACAGATCTGCCTTTTGCTTCACAGCAGCTGTATTACAGGAGACTTCTTAAATCATGTGAACTGCAAAACAGGGTTTGACTCACAGCCAAACAGACACAAATCACTCAGGTCAGCTCATCATGTAAAACACGGAACTGTGATGATTTGTTATCTACGGGACGAGACGGGATTTGCAGTGTCTGTGCTTTGCACTGGCCAACATCAGGATGTCAACAAACTGAGGAGCGTAGACACTGAGGCTGAGGGACTGGCAGACGGACAGATCTTGTACACAGCCCAGTTCAAACAAAAACAAGATTACACAAGAGAGGAAGAGACAAAAGACAAATAAATAACAGTGGGGACAAATCTGGTTACATTAAAGTAGTATGCAATAATTGACAAGATGACAAAGAATTGAGTTCACCAATATTATATTTGGTTTCATTCATTTAAACACTTCAGAGTAAGACTTTGAAAGATGAAGACAATGACAGACATCTTCACGAGCGGTTAAGTGAAGGCATTTGCACCGGGCCTCGTGACACACACACAGGCTTACACACATGGACGGATGATGACGCGGCTCGCCTTGTTTTTCTGTGTGCTCTTCTGCATGCATGCTCGTGAACCTGACGACCCAGCGCCAGAAGCTGTGACACGGCCTGACCCCCGAAGCCACAAAGCTCATCTGATGGTGTCGACCCCGCTGCCGCACTGGTCTATACCTCAGGCAACTCCCAGCCAGCTGCATGTTGGGGAGGGAGGGGCTGGAGGAGATATGAGCGGGCTGAAATAGCCCAATGCCTCTTCACTAAATGTCTAGGGGTATCTGAGAAATGCAGATGTTCAAACACGTGGCCCAGGAGGTCAGTTTAACGCATGCCATTAATAGAGTTTACTTTATGCACATAGGAAATGCCTCCTGTTAAAACACTTTCATCCTGCTTCACTTCACCAGTGCCTTGGTCAATGACACCTGAGTGCTTATAGTTTTCCCACGTATGCGTGACTTTAAACACAACCCCACTTTACTATGCTTTAGGTTACCATTCCCCCTTAGAAAAAAAAAAGTTGAAATCAACCCTTGTGAACCAAACAGATAATAATAATAATAATAATAATAATAATAATAATAATAATAATAATAATAATAAACAACTTGGCATTACAAAATGTATTCTTATTAATGGCTTACCACTGATCCACAAAGCATCAGTAGATGATTTATTAATTATTAATGAAGCCATTCGTTACACCTCATAAACACATATAGACTGTGGCATCAAGTTGGTTCAACTCAATAACAAACGCAAACAAACAAAAAAAAACACCATTTTCCGTTTTCTTCTCCACACAGACATGACAACCTCTGCATTTCATTTCAGGAAGAAGGTGTTTTTTTTTGTTTGTTTGTTTGTTTGTTTTGCAACCAAACATTCAAATAGCTGGAAGTTCAAGGCATTTAGAAGATAAAGTGAAAAGACTGGGCACTGTGATTTACGCAGAAAACATTATTCAACGCACGGGATGTTTGGATGCTGGGTCCTTTCTTAGCACGCTACTTGTCAGACGGACATCAGGCCACAAGGAGGTGGTGGTAAAACATAGGAATTAGACTGATTAGTCAACAAGAGACACCTGTCATAACAACCAATGGCAGCCGGAAGAGCACTTAAAAATTCACACTAGCAGGACGAGGAAACAAACACCCAATGCAGAGTTTCCCTGTGAACAGGTCAAGGAAAAACTCTCATCTAAAACGATTAGGTGTGAGAGTCTGCAGGAAATCAATCTAGAAAGCTTTCTCTGCTGTGGGAGGATTTGCACTCACAGTATTTCCAAAAATCCTGGCCATTGTTACATCTAGTGCTACCTAGACACGTCGATTGCGAGTTCTGGTATTAATGTGCCCGTGCAGGTTTTTGAGTCACCTGCCTTCTCTGCTTACCGAGTGTGGAATAATCATCCAGAGTAACATGGACAGATGTGTTGTTGCTGCTGCTGCTGCTGCTGCTGAATATTTAAAGTGTCTGTCTAAGTGCTGTGAGCATCTCAAATGAAATTCCTATTCACCTTCATTCTGCTGCAGAAATCTCAGAGAAAGATGTCTTAAAAATAAATTTAGACATGATTTGGGTGAAGTGACCCTTTAGGATGTCGACCAAATTTCATTTTTAAAAAAGAAACAATGCCCTCAAACTCTTCAGTAACTTTTGAACTTTGCTGGTGTCTCTTTAGAGGCTACATTTATAGCGTTTACACCTTTTTGTGGTAATTCAACTTTCCATATTTTTTGGTGCAGTTGATCCCTCACTTCCACAAGAATAAGCTGACCAAAGTGCTCTTGACCACTGAGCAGCAGCTACCTCCCACATATCCATCACGCAGGTTTTCTATGCTGGAATAAAGGGAAGTAGAGCAGGTTCAACTTGACTTAGCAGCTTGACCTTAAAGTGCCAACACCGACACGGGTCAAAGGTCAAAGTTGATTCTGAAGCGGTGTCTTGGGCTTGAGCCTCTCAGCGGAGGAGGTGATGACGGTGAGCAGCAAAAGGAGACAAACTGGTATGATGTGTTCAGGTGACGCATAACTAATTTTCAGTTAGCATTCCTCCTTGCGCTGTCACACAGACTAAAAATATGGAAACAATTTTTTTTTATTTTTTTTATCTCTTAACAGTGATATGATCTTAATGGAGCCCACTCAGCCAGAGTGACGAGACAATAAATGTTTTTGCAACTAAAAGCGTGCAAAAAAAAAAAAAACCTGTGATTTTCTCCCTCACTAAACCTTCTTATGGTTTTCATCTTTCAGCCAAACAACCCCGCCAACATCATTTCATAACTTCAGTCACAATTAAACCAGTCATCTTGAATGAGCAATTAATTTAGAGAGGTCGCTAACAATTAACCAGTGTCAGCTTCATGCATCATATGAGTGTCATAAGAGGCGCAGGGTTTACAAGCCCTCGAGAAAGCTTTTAAAAGCCTTTTTTTGTGCTGCTGAAAGGAGCTGTGTGCTCGTGGAGACTCTTATCTAATCACTCAGATTCAAAAATCCTCTTGGCTTACTTGAGGGATTTGCCTACTTTTAAATTAATATTTGGTTGAACATGTTATATCACCATATAGGCCGTCACATGGCAGCCAAAGGAAGTTGTGCCACTGCCCAGCTCCCAATGACACCACCTGACTTGTGATTGTGAAAAAACTTTCAGTATTTTATGACTGTAAATGTGTTGGTATACTTCCTGTGTTGATGTATGTGCGTGCGTGTGTGTGCGTGTGTATGCGTAGCCCCGAGCAGCCAGAATCACATGGGGGTTAATGATACTGTCAGGGCGACGGCGGGGGGGGGTGGCGGGGGGGAGTGGGGGGGGTGAATGGATAAGGCAGAAGGCAGCGGTACAAAAGTGGAGGGAGAGAGGTGGTGGAGGAGAAGGGAGAGCGAGTCATATCTCCTCTTCTGCTCTGTCCTTCCTCTTCATTATGATTTAAAGTAAGTATCTCATTCTTTGCCACATTCATCCTCTCATACATAATGATAAACATTTTTCATGTGTTTAATAATGTTTCACAATTTATCCACATGATAACTTAACCTGGACTCCTCACAGTCTAAGGGCTTTAATGATGAGTTTGAAATATGTTGTGCTATAATTTATGCCCGCACTGATATGGGATGTAAATCTTTATAGTGACTTCCTTGATTGTCAATGGCTGATCCTGTTCTACATGATAGTGTAGCCTCTGTGTTTCTCCGGGTCATTCTGCTGTGTCTAATGGCATTTCCATAACCTCATCTGTTATTCTTTATAGTTATATTTGGACACTAAAAATATATTTGTGTTATCTTTTTTTGACTTCCATATTTGTGGTATGTATATGCAAAAAAAAAAAAAGCTCATTTTCACATTCTCCTTCTTGAAGGTACGTCTGGTGATATTCTATACTTTTGTTGTAAATGTCAGTAAATCCAAATGAGCCCCACCTTTGCACTAGGTGACATGCACTTTGTTTACAACATGGGGATTGTAGTTTATCTTTAAGGCAATCACATATATACCGTCCTGTTAGCTCCAACAAATGCACGGTTTAACTCCTGTTTAAGAAACATTCACTTCAAACCAACTGCTTTGGAAAATAATTACATATAACAGCTTTTTTATATAAATAAAACTATATATTTGTTACATGTTTTTAAAGATGCGTGTCTTCCGTAGACAGGACTGGATTTGGGGCCGAGTGTCACAGACAGGGTATAGTGAAGTCAGGCAGCATTGAGAGATGGACTATAACACAATGCTGGTTTTGGTCTTTTCAAGGGAAAAATATAAGGCAGCACCAGCTTTATCTTTTAGGTGTATTGTACCATAGAATAAGTATATTGTCCTTTATCATCAAAGGTGCGTTGACAGATCCGTGATGCCACCTCCTAGTGTGTGACTATTTGTGTGTTTTTGTGTTTTACTGTGAAATTTTACGTGCTGCTTGGGCAAAATCTTGAACTATTGTTTGCAATTGAGACATTTACACTATTTCTTGGCCCGAGAGTGAGACAAATGGGAGGGATTTACTGCATGTTGTGAACAGGAAGTCTGTCATCTGAGGTCAGCTCACACATAACCTGGCTCTGTAACAGATTTATGAGGGAGCAAGCTCATTAGTGAAGCTTTTGATAATATCTCACATAGCGGAGCTGTAGTCTTTCAATTTATTAATGCATTAATTGTAGTTCTGCGAAGTGACCTGAATCACAAAGGCTGGAAATATGTAAAGAGGAATATGAGATTGATGAGAAGAATCTTAAAGAAAAGCTCTTTGTGTGAAACCCCCCCTTCTTCTCACTGCAGACATACAAACCAGAATATATAAAATGTTTTATTAGTTTTTTTTCTTGCTTTGCTGAATCTTAAAGTGCAGCATTTAAAAGAAGATGTATTAACTAGGTACCCTTGAAGACAAAAGCATGCCAATATGTGCCTGAAAAGGCGTTACAGTAAGAAGAAAACAAGGGAGAGCTAGAAAACACAATCAGGAACTTAATGCCCACCGGCCGCCACTCAAGCTCATTACTGCTCATTAAAAAAGATGCCAGAGGGAGCACTGAGCAGAGAAAACACACCGGCAAGACATTTGCTGTTCATTGGAAAAAAAAAAAAAAAGAAAAAAAAATGTGGGAATAAAACACAAATATGTTGTTATTGCTTCTGATACAGTCAAAGTGTCATCGGTCCACACCGATTCATACAGTAACACCACGTTTCCAAGGCACTTGGGCCAAGCGATCCAAACCAAATAAAAACAGTCTGACAAGCACAATTACGTTATAAGACATGATGACAGCGATGATAATCAAAACACTCTCCGGCCCATTTCTGACGACAGCTCATAACTTTGAAAACCAATAAGGGAAAATGACAATAACAACTTCCATATTATCATATTATATTACACAACAAAATAAACTACGTATTACAGTGTCTCATCATTAGAGAATCTCTCTCATATTATGTTCCCTTTGCAGAGGAGTGATGATGCTTGATAGAGAGATTTTAATAAGACTTTCTTAATACAATATCCCTCCATGCGCATAGCAAGCAGTAGTCATTCGCCGTTATCAGTTCAAGAGGTCGGTTATCAAAAGGCACTGGCACTTTATTCATCACTTACACAACAGCTACATTTTACGATCTATCTGAATCAAAAGGGCTCCTTGTGTCCTGAATAAACATAATGAATGTTGAGTGAATGAATGTTCAGCCATACAGAGAGCGCATACACAGAACAAAGCTTTAAGCTATTAGTGCAACCTTTAAGAGACTATGAACTCTGTAAACAACATAAGGGTACTCATACTCAGTCATATGTAGACAAATATTTATGAAAGATTGATTGAGGTGCCTGAAGGCACCGTTAAAGACGGTTGGCTGTAAACTAAAGAAACCGCACACATAAACACTGAAATATATTATTTAAAAAAAAAAGCATGAAGTAAAGATGTGAATTAATACTCTGTTGCTGGACATCTTTAATATATTAATGATAATAAAAAATGCGAGTCTCTGCATAGATAATTTTTCATAAAGTTTCATTTCTGTCCTCTTCCACTTGCTACTTCTTTCCCTGGACTGAGATTAAAGAAAAGTTTCCCTCTTGGGGTTTCAATATCATATTTTTGAGAAAATGGCCGTAACTCGTTATTAGCATTCAAAAGAAATGCTTGGGCGAGCAAAGGCAGAACAAAACGTCTTTCAACAACTCTGAATCAAATATCAGCTCCAATAAAATGTCTCTCTTTTTTTTTTTTTTTTTTTATTCCTACTATATAATTACTCCTGGGACTGAAAGAAAAAAAAAGGTCTTTAACAATTCTTGAGAGAAATGGTTTCAAACACAAACAGAAAGCTTCCAATAATTTTTTTGTGTCTTTGAAATTCACATCTGCTGGTTCAGGTGAAAACGTGAGGCTAATCGGAGGCTTCGGCTTTTACTTTTAATATTTGAAAGAGCTTTAAATCCTCCACAGTTTTAAAAGACAGAAACCCTGGGTATTGGTCTGTCCATCACTGACACCATCATCACCAGCTGCCAGTTAGATCATCATAATTTCTTAGTTTCTCATTAAATCTGCAGAGTTGCTTTTATTTTCAGTGTACATTTAGTGTCTGATAAATAAGAAAGTGTCTTTGGGGTGAACTTTTTCATCTATAAAACAGCAATTTCTAAAGGAGACAGTTTTCTTACATTTAGCTGGTACAACCTGTCCTTGGGACTTTGTATATATATATTACTATATAGATCTTTAGGCTGCTGCTGTGTTTGCTGTACCGCCTTTATAAGATGCCTGTGGATGTATCTGTTTGCATTCCTATCAATAACTGTCACGCATGGTCAAGGACATTACAGCACTGATGCATTATGTTCTGTAGAGAGGGCTTCTGAGTAGTTTGAAATGAAATTCTACTGAAAATCAGGTTTGTGTGAAATGCATTTTTGTCAAAAGTTGACAGCCCCTTCAGAAACAATCTGTTTTCTTTCCTTCTTCCAGAACAATAAACAAGAGACCCGAAGTTAAACTGACGTTGCAACAGCACAAAGTGTGAATTCTTAGGCTGTTCTGACAAAGACGAGTAAGCGGTTTTAGAAGGCATGAGTCAGCGCCACAGTGACCTCTTTCCCTCCTTGATTGGCACTTATTTGAAGAGGCTGAGTGAAGGCAGCTGCTTTCATCGTACAGGTGTTACCTGCTTTCATACAGTAGTACATCCATACCCCCAAAGTGAGGCTTGGATTGCTGTTTGGTTCCTTCACAACAGCTGGAAGTTTGGTTGAGATGGAGAGGGGCTTCGACAGATCCAAAATGTCACCGGTAACCACCTTATTGTCAAGCAGCCACTCGTTACCTGTGAAAAACAGGAAATAGAAAAAAAAAAATCAATAGTCTGAATTAATCTGGCTAATACAGAAACAAATAAATGCCTTGCCTGGACACCAACGGTAAATAATACTAATATTCTTGCAAGGAGGTGATTCACAAAAAGCAAGAACCAGTTCATTCACAGTCTTCCAAAAGACTGTTTGTATGAAAATGTCTGTCTGACATCTAAATTTATTGTTGAACGCAACAATGTGCACCCTGTGAACTAGACTGGCTCGAGCCTGAGCAATGCACAGAACTGCTAAATGGAGTCCTCTAATATATTACCCCAAAACCACATAACCCCACTGAATCAGATGAAGTGAGAGCGAGGACATGAATTTTCTGAAACAAAAGGAGATATTTTTAGAAACAAATACTCATCTAAAGAGACGTGAGCACTGAAAGATAAATCAAAGTGGAAAAGAAATGGCTCGAGCTTCAACTGTGAGAAAATATTATTATGCCAGGGAGACCGTCAAATCCATGCCAGCGGTGATTAATGAAGCTGATGCCTAACGTGAAATCCCAGGGAAGCCATTTCTAAAAAAGCCACTAAAAAACAATTTAGATCTGGCGTGCACTTCTAACTTGATCCATTAAAATTCCTGCCTCTGCACTGATCTGATCGGCATAAGTCTAGACTGGGTATAATCGGACAGCGGAGGATCACGTAACATAGCCTGGTAGCTAATTATGTGAACCAAGGCATGTCGTCTTATCGAACGTTCTAAAAATAGCCTGCTGGTATCGCTGACTGCATGCTGCATCGCTCAGAATGATGGAAACACTTTTGTTCCAAACCTAATGAACAGACCATCAACCATCACTAACATGATATCTCAAATCACTTCACACTTGATCCTAGGGTCAGACTACTGCTGATTACAAACTGAGAACGCTGGACAAAGCCTTCCTATAGTATGTAGCAGTAAAAATCATATATTAAAATCTTGCATGCCATGTATAAGCTCGCTGGTGCTTTAAAAGAGTCGCTGAGTTATGTGTTTTTCCATCCCTCAACAGAGAACTAAAAATCTCAGGTGTGGGCCGGCAGAGTGAGGATCTGCTTGTTGTACAGTGAGAAGGACATGAAGGTTAAGCATCATTCACTTCCATTTTTTTTGACAGAATCATGGATCACAGACCTAAATAAAGCATAGTAGGAGAGGTTGAGTGGCTCACATCCAGAATAGGGTCATTATAAACATAGAGAACAAGTTTGGGTCGCAACTCTGACTCCCTCACAGGTTCACAGGGAGAAATAATTTCAACAAAGCAGGCAATTGAAACCTTTTTTTTCTTTTTTGGAGGGAAAATTAGTGAAAATAATAGCGATATGGTTTAAACATGCCTTGCTTAGCATGAGTTTTAGCAACTGCAGAGACAAATGCATTTCCACAAGAGTGGCCAACTTCTGAAGTGTGGAAACGGGATTTGTCTGTTACTTCCTCGACTGTCCTCTTACTTAAATCCCTCCACTTTTCTTCAATAAACCTTTTCCAGCAGGTATTTGTCAAATACTGCTGTCTTTTCAGAATGGACTGTTAACAAAGCTGTCCTCCGAACAGCGACTGTCCAATCATTGCCTAGCAACCCAGAGAAGCACAGCAGCTCTGTCTAGCTTTGGGTTTCTCCACATGTTGAAGTGATGTGCATTGGGGCTGTAGCAAAAGTGATTCTTTTTTTTTTTTTTTTTTTTTTTTTTTTTTTTTTTTTTTTTTACCTTTACAAAAACACAAGAGCAAAAATGTAAGGAATTGTGTTGTCTGGTCTAACATAAGCTACAAAAATTAGCATGTCTGGCTATCTTATACATTTTCCGTTGTCATACTATTCTGTCGGTAATACTAGAGCTAAGCTTTGCATTGCAACACAAAAACAATGGTCTCCTTTATTTCCATGCCTTCTGCACGGATAGCCTCACTGTTTTAGCATGATGTCATGTACGTAGCCATAACGCAGAGTTCTTGTCTCAGAATGAGTTAGCTGGTAGTTTTCAACCAACTCATGGAGCTAATGATTTTTAACTAGCTAAGTAAGCTAGCTACAATAGAAATTAGCAGTCAGCGGCCTGCTTTTGTCTTCCCTTGTATGAAATCAAAGACACGTTATTTAAAATAATTTACCAATGATTACCAATTGCCAATCAGATCAGTTTAAACGGAAAACGACAACGGAAAATATAGCAGTAACAGCGTGAGGCGTAGCTGACACTCGCGATGCCTTTCACGTGTATGAAGTCAAATGTACCTCTAGGATGAACCTGAACAAAAACATTTTCAAACGTGACATTTGCAACAATGACTGAACTTTGTCTCACCCTCAGCTGACAGAGCCCAGCAGCTGGGAGCTTCTTCAGTGAGTTTGCTTCCTTCTGGAAGGGACAGTGTGAGTGACAGGATGAGAGTCTGGCCCGCAGACACTGCTACTGGTGGCATTGCTTTCCTGACAGCTGATTTAGGCAGCGTGGGGGCTTTGGCAGGAGCCGAAGGCTTTGTGGGTACTGAGTCTGTGCAGTCCATGGATATAGGGAACTGGAGAGGAGAGAAATGTGGGTGTTTACATTAGAGAGTAGCAAGGAGAAAGCTGTTGAGACTTACAGTGTCCTTTCTTTGTAACCTTTTATTCAAACTCTTCTAGTACAAGAAGAGTTTCAGGGCAGATTAATTACACACACGTGGACAAAATGTTAAGTGGCCTACTTTCTCAAGGTTGGAAGCAAGATTTTCTCTCTCTCACACACACACACACACACAGGTCTAACCAGTGAGACAGTCTTGGAGTCGAGGTCCAGCATTTTCACTTGGTGGTTGTTGGTATCTGCCACATAAAGAAGCTTCCCGTTGTCGCCGACACAGATCCCTCCAGGTTCGTTGAAGCAGGATTTGTTAAATTCAGGACCCAGACTATCTCCAGCCTCTCCTGTCCCTGCTAATGTGCTACACTGCTTTGTCTTTGGATCCACCACCTTGATCTGAATCACACAGGCAAATAGACACCATCAAACAAAAAACAAAACCAGGGTTATTAAATAAAAAAAAAAAGGTCAAGCCCTTTATGTTCCCTGTATGGTATAAGATCAAAAGGAGAGACAAGCTTTGTGTAGCCACTCATCAACTTAAAGGAACCTCTCATGACGACAGAAGCATCAATTGTGAGCACAATACAGCTTTGAACAACAGCCTTGTGACATGCAACACTTACCTTGTGGTTGTAGGAGTCGGCCACATAGAGCAGGCTTTGTTCAGGAGCCCAGGAAACACCGAGAGGATGCTGCAGCTTGGCGTCCACCCCTTTCCCGTCTAAATCCCCGAAAGCAAAGAGGTTCTGGTTCAAAGTGGATAAAACGTTCAGATGAGATCAAATGAAAGATATAAAAACATACAAAAGCCCGAGCTGCAACTTGTGACCAATGTTTAAGCTCAACGTGGGTCAAAGTACAGAACAACCAATCCAAACTTGTGAACCGCCTATAACCAAACTTAAGACATGTTCATATTTGAAAAGAAAGGGAGTCTTTTTACCAAGATAAAGGACTTTCGTCTTAAAATACATGATGAAGCCTTTTCTATACACTATAAACGATGAGTTTCTATGAGAGGAATACTTGGAATGAAAACATGAAAGCAAAATTAGCTTCATTATCTTGGGGATTTCTGAATAATTCATACAAGAACAGTTACAAGAAATATTAGGCCACATTTGTAAGAAACACCAGGAAGAAGACAATATCTTTAAATTGCAATAGCTACTGTGACAAAAATAGTTGGATGAGTCATTCTTGAGAAGTTTTGCAGAAAAGTAAAATAATGATAAATGTCATTAAAATATCACAAAGGGGAACATTTTCAAATTATGTGAAAGAAATTGTTTTTAAAAGGTGATTCCTCATGGAAATTTCTTTTTTTTCTGCAAATGATAATAAGCAAGTAAAAACTGATTTTGAGTGGAACAGATTGTTTCAGGCTAACCTGATCCCAAACAGACAAATTACAATTACAGCCAATCAACAACCAGTTGGTGAGAACTTGGGCTGAATTGAAATAAATAGCTTTTCACGCTGTATCACTCAAATCAATAAACAAAAGTCTCATGATTCTCTGCGGCCCACTCCCTCTCCACAGTTGCTGCATTCACTCGACAATGGTGGCTACAAAAGAAACTAATCTTTGGGAAAAAATCTGTTTCTGCATCAGTGGAGTTTGTTCCAAACACCAGTGGGTTTACATGCGCTCAGGTGTTCACCTTCACTGCAGGAGTGTGCCCTCTGTTTCTGACTGTGACGCAGCAGAAATGTAAAATCTCTCTATAGTTCAATGGAAGCGCTCAAACTAAGGCTGAAGAAGGGAAGGGGAAAAAAATGCATTTGGTGGAACTATGGGAAACACAGATGCCTTCTGTTCCTGATTTCCTCACTTTGAGATTTTACTTTGAAAAATACAGGCATTTTAAAATGCGTATAGGCTTTAAACAAAAAAACTGTGATGAGAAAAAATAAATCAAAGGGCTTACAGGAATAGCTTGACATTTTGGGAAATAGGCTCATTTGCTTTCTTGTCAAATATGAGATGAAGAGATCAAAACAACTCTCATGACTGTTGGTGGAATATGAAGCTGTAGCCAGCGGCCAGGTCGCTTAACTTGGCAAAAAAGACTGGGAGCAGGGGGAAACAGTTAGCCTGCCGCTGTCTAAAGGTAGCAACATCCGCCTACCAGAGCCTCTAAAGCTCACTAATGAACACGTTATATCTTGTTTGTTGAGTCCGTCCTATAACCGAGGTGCAACTACAAAAATTTGTCGAGTGTACGAATGTAGTGCCGTTAAAAGTTCAGACATCAGATGCACATTAACTTGTAAAAGCTTTAATCCCGTTTAAGGTTTAATGTTTCATTGTCTCAATTAAATGGCTAAAATGTCTACAGGCAGTAGACCATAGAGCATATTAATGGTTTTTGCTGGCTCACCGCCATGTTGAATAAACTGTATATGACTCTCCAGTTAATTACTCTCTATTCTCATGGGTGACTACAAGCTTTAGAGCTCTTGGGACTTTCCAAAAATACACCAAAGTAGCAGGAATAAAACCACAGCATAGCGGCTGTGCGGACATGAAAGTACTACCAAAAATTGTTTTTCAGCCTTTGCATCAGCAACAAACAAGAGAGGCTGTGTTTATTTATGGCATATTTCTTTTTAAATCAATATTTTCTATCTATAGAGAAATGGCCTCGAAAACTTGTGATGTCCAAGAGTCTAAACTAGTGTGCGATTGTTTTCTGTGTCTGGAAATTGAAGGTTTTTCAAATCTGCTTTGGGAACGGACTTTTAATTTCCTCCAACTTCTGTTCAAACTGCTGTTCATTGTATTGTCTCTATTATTAATAAAAACAACACTAAAATGGACAAAAAATAACCCCACATTTACTAGGTACGAGAGAATTTATGAACCTACTTAAATTAAACAAAGATGGAAGCTCACTTAAAGCCACATGGGATTCACCTGTGCTCTGTGGCTGGTTTTTTCAAAAGTAATTTTTATAAACCACTTGACCATCCTAATGTAAAGAAATAAACTAAAACGTATCTAGTAAAAAAAAAAAAAAAATCCATCCATAGAGTAATAAATTCATCCATCATCTAGACACCTATCCATCAACTGATGTACACCCACCATCGGGTCTCTCTCTCCGCCGACCAGCAGCTTGACGCCTCCATCCTTCAGTGCGAGCGTGCGGATGGTGCTGCTCTCACTATCGGCCACATACAGGCATCTCCAGGGCTCCTCCGGGGCTAAAGCCAGACCTGAAGGCTGAGCAAAGCCGGCCTTGTGTGGGTAGGCGTTGTTTCGGTTCTCCTCGTTGCCGCTGCCTGCCCATCGCACGCATGTCCCCGCCTTGGACTCACTGCTTATGTTGTTGAATAGAAGATAAAAGACAAAACACTGCAAATGCATTGCTGCACTTGTAGAGTTCAAATTGGTGGGGAATCTTTTCATTCATCATAGACATGGCTTCTTTGATGATGCAAAACTTAGATTATTTCTCAAGTTGGAGATCCCCTCGGCTGGAAATTTATGATTGTGGTTAACCCGGACATATTATTACATCATTTCATTGATTTCCTGTGATAGGGTCAGCCACACGTATACAAAACAAGTTATGTGGGGGAGTGGGAAGATGTCTTTATTTGCTCTTCATTCTTTTTATGCTTGGCTTTTCTTGCCAGGTGGCCATGGTGGTCATGTATCAGTCTCTCACCTCCCTTTGGGCAGAGTCCCATCTTCTAGGAACAAAGCCCAGATCTGGTGGGTCCCTGCCATGGCTATCCACAGCACGTTATCTTCAACGCCACCTACACATGCAAATGAAATGCACATATGTAAGCACACACACACAAGAAAAACCACACTGTGAGTTTAGAACCAGGAAGTGTGCGTCGGCCTCAATCATCCAGGAGTTACTAATATGATTTTCTTATAATCGAAATAAAAATAAATAAATAAATAAATTCATCCATTCATAATTCACAGATGCAGCTATACAGGTTCAAATGACAGCACCCTGTCTGACAAAGCCCACATGCCACCTCAGACGCTCGCAGCTAGAGACAACACTGCCATCATAATGGATACACAACCCTCACAGACACGCAGCTTCTCAGTTGTATTTTTAATGCAGCGCCGAGCTCTGCCCTTCTTGATCACATCTGGGCGACTGTCAGGAACATTTGACATCTGCGGCACCGGACTCACCAACAGCAGCGATGACACTGTAGCACTTTAGAGTTCAAAAGGTGCAGCCTCCTTGTGATTTGGTCAATTTAATTATTCATGCCCATGGTGAATAAATCATGAATATGCAATGAATGTTAGCATGTACTCTCAAAGGACAATGTTAGTGGAGTTAAAGGTCTGATGCCACATCCTGGGACCATGTGGTGACGTTCCAAAGCAGCAGGTTGTGTCATCCGTCAGCCTGTGCAGGAAATGTAACCTAAGACTGATTACCTCTTGCTTCCAGGCTGGGTGCAACTACTAAATAATGGTGCTAATGGCAAAAAAAAAAAAAAAAAAAAAAAAAAAAAAAAAATGACCACATGACTGTGATCAATCAAACTCCAAAATGTAAACAGGACCTGCTGATGAGTACAGTGCTCGCTACAGGCAGATAAACAACCCAGTCCAACCGCCATCTTTTGTTTGCTCTAAGTTGGTACAGAATGTCACAAAGACAGTACGACACATGCTTAAAGTTTACTTCACATACAACCGCCAGCTCTTGCAACATCTCCAGCTTGAAGAGGCACTTAACCACCTAAAAGTAAACAATGTTAACCTGATGCATCATAGCTGTAAGAAAAACAGATGACAATAATCTAAATAATACATATATATATATATATATGTAGTATATAAATCAATACAGATTTTAGAATAATACTCAACTTGAAACATATATAAGGCTAAAGCATTACATAATAACCTTGTATTCAATATTTACAAATGATACCAGGCCTACCTGGAGAGCAAAACAATTCTGCCAAATGAAGCAACAATAGACAGTACCGATTGAAAGGTGTATATATGAGTGTGTCTGAGGGATCTGCCGGTATGGCATCTCTGTACATGACTACAATTCTTTGCTGACTGATTTTAAGTCTGCAGTCTGAATGCTCACTGATAACGAGGCTTGATGGCAACACAAGACATTATCACTTGGAGATAAAAGGTCTGAGAGATTTAAAAGATACAGTTTAAAAAAGCTTTCGACTTAGATTAAAAAATAAAAAAAAAATCACTGTGTGGCAAATATTAAAAAAAAGATCAATAATAAAGGAACTCTGAATGCCCAAGGCAAAATAATAAAAGCAAGGCATTAAGGGGGACTGAGCTGAGCTTGAAGCAAAGGTCTTAGATTACTTTGTGAGAATATGAAAGACCTCATCAGAAAGTAGAGGTAGATGAGGAATTCGCTAAAGAGGCTTATTGAGTACCCCCCCCATAAATTAGATCCCAGTTTTAGAAAGTATCTTCCAATATCATAATTACCCCTTCAATTGTCTATCCACCTCTGTGGATCCCTGATATCTATTCTATTCACGATCATGTTCAGGAAGACTGTCTGAAAAGTGAACAACTCAGACGTTAATGGCTACTTGCTTCCAATCTGTCCTGTAAAATCGCTTATGAAGGGCTGCTTTTTAAAAGTAGCTTGTTTTCTATTGCAGCTCAGGACGTCCACTTAAAGCAGAAGTGTTTTGAAGGTGAATCATGTAAAGGTTAGAAGCTACATAATTTGTGTATGTGATGCCATTTTGTTTTGTTCAAGAACATTTTGATGTGTAGTATCTGTGTGTGTGTGTATATTTGTCTCTAATTGCACTAAATGTACAAGGTGGAAACAATGACTCTGAAGGTGTGATCCCACCAGAACTCACACCACAATCTCTTCAAGGGGGGTGAAATGTACCTCTTCCTGTTTTCTTTCCACCACTGTCACTGTCAACCTGCCTGAACTCAGCGAGACCCAACAACAGCCAGGGAATCTGACAGAGGGGCGGGGTTAGGTTTGGGGTTAGGGGGTGAGGCGCAGAGGGGGAAAGACAATAAAATGTTGTTAAATGTTGCCCTTCGAGTTCCGGGTTTTGGGCCACGAAACTCACCGGCGGTGCCGAGAGTCACATCCCAAGGAGAGCTGATTGGCTGCTGAGGTCCCATGGCCCCACCCTCTTTGTCTGTGCCTTGAACTCCTACGCCAGCTAGAGTGCTGACTCTTCCCTCTAACAGGTCAATCTAACACCAAGACACGCAAACACAAACAGACAGTCATAAATATAAAGACAGTCACTGAGAGAAACAGATATGCAGATATTTTAACGAGACAGTGGTGGATCCTACCTTTCGGACCAGGTGGTTTTCTGTGTCGGCCACGTATATCGTGTCTCCTTTTATGGCCACACCCTGAGGGGAGTTAAAGGAAGCCTCAGACAGGTCGCCGTCGTGCCTCCCACTTTCAGGTCCTGCGACAGATGTGACGATACCATGGACATTAAGATGGTGGTTTGGATAACACTACCTTCCTTATAGAATTTTCCACCTTTTGAAAACTTTTGCCAAGAAAAGCATAATGCCTGCACACGATGGATACTTTGTATCTACAATGACAAATTGACAGTGTTTATGTCTCTTTCTAAATTTTCTCTGTCATCATCTCTGCTGGGCTGCTATAAATGAGTTTTGGGGGGAAATTAGTCTTCAGACGTGACATTTGTTTTCTATGCAACTAAACATCTGTGGTACCCAGCGAATGAACTAAGTCTTTAATAGTGATAGGAAGAAACAGGTGCTTTAATTGTTCTCACATTCTATTTGATAAATTACTTTATCTTTCAGTTGACACAAGAATTGAATTTTATCGTCCCTGCTTAAACTTTTACTAGAGAAAAAAAAGAGTTGATGGATGACTTTTACTTATACAAAGGATATGTACAGGCGTACTTGCCCATTTACAACTGGAGCACGGGTGATCTTTCATTTCTATAAATGGATCAATGATCAATTACTTAAATTTATGACTGTGGTTCATCTAATATAATGTGCTTATACTGTATGTAACAAATTTGTTAAATGGAAGACATAACCTTCTGATCCAAATTTCTTATGCCCATATAAATAATATGTATGTATGTATAAGGATGAGATCAACCCACAAAAATATAACAAATCCTTTTTTTCCCCCTCATTTTGTCCACACTTAGGTCAGTGCCAAGTTCCCAGAGTGTACCAGTCCCTGCTGCTGCCAACCTCTCTGCTGGTCTGGGGACAACACAGACAACCATGTGGCTCCTCTGAGGGTTGTTGAGGCATGTGAGTAATCTAAATATATCAATATTGCTGAAATTTGTGTTGTGTAAGTTGTACGAATTCTTATTATTTACAAAGCAAGAACAATATTTCATTTTTATCCACGACTCATTTAAATTAGGACATTATCACAAAGATTAATGTCCCTTCTTTCAAAATAGCATAGGGCGGAGGTGTGAGGATTTAATGCCAACCTCAAGAGACCGTATATCTCTATCCTGTATCCCACTTCTTACCTCCTATGACATGCGACAGCTGACCGGTAGAGGACACCACCAGAATCCGGTGATGCCCAGTATCTGCTATGGCCAGTGTTTTCTTGCTGTTGTCTATGGCCACCTTCCCAGGAAAAGACAGGATGCTGGGTGGCAGGGAGTCTCTGTACAGCTTGATCCCCACCGAGTGAGGCTTCAGCAGGCCCTGCTCCCTGTAGTGACGGAGGGCGCTGTCAGTAAAAAGCATCATCCTGTCACGGTGGCCTTCGCCCACCAGGGAGAAGAGCAGGTTGCCACGTGGTCCGAGCAGGACCAGCGTGGGCCAGCAGGACACCTCCAGTTCATGCCAGAGGCGCGCCTCGCCGTCGTTGACCACTGGGTGGCAGATGTCGTAGCGGAGAACAGCGCTGCGAACATTGGCGAGGACCTTTGAAGGGTTGGGGGAAAAACAAAGAGGAGCAGTGAAGTATTCATTAATAAATTGTGTTTATAATGAATTAATCAATCAATCAATGTGACAAAGAGATTCTCCATTATTAAATCCATAAAATGTGAGAAAACAGTAATTCTAAAATCATAATTTTGACAATTTTGATTGATAATTGTAATAAATGATTAATCGATGACTATATTAGGTGGAGTTTCATTTTCTGTTCATCTACGTATCAATTATTAAACACATCATTTCAACAACTTACAGTTTAGTCTAAATCATCATGTTTTGAATGAACGTCTGAGCCTTAAAATGAAGCCAATTAACACACTCATATTCTGTGTAAGAATGTGGAATTTCTTTTATAAGATGAAGGAATTCATGTTCCTCTGTCTTCAGAGCTTGTTTGTGGGAATGGGAACTCTTACTCAAACTGAGAACTGCACAGAAGCAAGGATATAATCTGTTACCATTTCATGTGTACTGTGTGCAAAAAAAAAAAATAAAAAAAAAAAAAGGGCAGGCTGACAGTACTTTCTGAAGATCTTAAACATGTTTTCTGGTCTTAAACAAAAAAATCGACAACTACTATCTGAGCTGCCAAAATCAGATTCTCATGCTGGTATACTAGTGTAACATTACAGATTAATACTGCATGGGGAGAAAGTGGTTCAGGTTGATTGTCTTGCATCAGATTCAAATTTACCAGTGTTCCCAGAATGACCAGAAAAGCCTCCTCAAAGGTAAAATAATGATGAGCAATAAAAACCACTTACCTTTTCATTTGGGAATTTGGCAGAGTGTACACCAACAACAACCAGTCCGTCTGAGAAACAGATTGAATAGATAGAGAGACAGAAAAAAAAATCAGAACAGCCAACCATAACAAAACAGTAAGTGGTTTGAATTAACATTGCTCAGAATGAAAAATGCCATTTTTTTTTTTTTTTTTAATTTTCAGGACATGATTTTGCTTATTGAGCTTTATTCCTTCACAAAAACGCCCAGTTTCAGTGGTGGTAATGAAAGACAGAGAAATGGTTCAAACATCTAGTTGTCCCCACGAATATCTCTGTAAAATCTTCTCTCTAAATCACGTTGTCAACAACTTGCATAAGCCTGATCAATAACAAGTTAACACAAGACACAAGCACCACACGCACGCACGCACACACACACGGATGCGGCAGCTGTTTAAGATGCTTGGGTGAAGTGAGGGAAACATGTGATTTGCAACTGAAAACCTTTTAAATATCTTCCTTAGATAAATGCCCCTCGAACATAATATCACATAGCTCTCAGTGAGGTTCCTGGAAATATTTCAGTGCCTCGAAGCTTTAAATGATTATCTCGGTTATTTCTCAGTAGTCATCAAAGTCCACTAACACTATGCTTATTGTACAGACAATGAGAGCGACTGGTTCTCATTTCATTAGTGTTATGTAACTGAGTGGCCTAAATCTGTGGAAAATACATGTTTCTGATGCCTTTTTGGAACAGACCCTTTTGTGGTGCTAACATTCTGACAGTACTGGCCTTACAGAGCAGATACCCTGATAAGTTTCCTTCCTGTTTCCCCATCAGTGTGGGACTCGCTGTTGAAACAGTCACGTTTGCACCCATGTCACTCCTTCATTAAAAAAACTTGACAATACTTAAAAAAAAAAAAAAACAAAAAAAAAAAAGAAGCCCGGGTGGAGCTACAGAAATGTCACAGCTAACATGTCATTCAGACAATACTTTATTCACATGGAACCAAGCTTGACAGCTGATAAAGGGATTTCTAGAGAATATAATTTATATAATATATAAATGTTTTTATTTTTATCACTTCCATTTAGAATTGGATTATTGTAGCTGTTAACCTTTTAACAAACGCTTCCACTGTGTGCCATATAGAAAAACGCACTATTCTTTTTATTGGTAAACAATAAAAGTTTACAACAACTGCTTTGAAAGTAAAGACGCACCTTCATTTATAAGGTTTCTGTTGTACACTCTGTATGCATTTTACCCGATTGAGAGTCAAGACAGAGTATTCTTTATAAAAAGGACAACGATGTGCATTTTCTTTTTTTAAATCTACCAATACATATGTTATTTGCTCATATTCCAAACAGTGGATTGAGGCACAGTCTGAAACTAGTATAGCAACTACAATCATTAAAAATAGAAATTAAAATTGGACCCCCGACCACTAAGGCCTTGAAATGAGAAAAACTGCAGAAAAATGCATAATTTAGAGAAACAGTTGTAAATCTGTTTATTTTCTATAAATAAGATGCATACATTAACTCGAATTTAGTTTGGTCTTGACTTTGTCACAGAAAACAGGAAAAGCTTATATTTTAATTTAGATTTCATAATGCCTTTTTTGGCTCATAACATCACATGCTATTTCAGATGGCTATAAAGCAAACAAAAGCCCTCAGTCCTCCATAAATGGACCCCACAGGACACTTCCTCAACAGAAGTAAAAGCACACAATTCCAAACCTTCAAACCCAACACGGCCTGCAGTGAATTTCGTCATCCATGGCCTCTGCCAAGCAGTATAGTACCAGGACAGATTGTAGTGACGATGGGTGGGTGGCGGGGTGGACTGTGGGAGTGACTGGACAGGGTGGCTCCCACACCTCACTGGCCAGAGCAGCAAACAGAATGTACCCATAGCAGTGCCAAAGATAAGGCAAGTATGATAATGTGCGGTGGCACTGCAGTGTGTGTGTTCTGGGTCCCGCCTGGCTAACAACTGAATTTCAAGCTTCCTCAGATGATCCCTTGAAGGATCCAGCAGGATGCCAGAGTCATTCGGATGTGACTGTGCTTTTACATGGAGTGGCAATACAGAGAAGCGTACAGTGAGCTGCAGCAGGGTACAATTATGGGGCCAACGTACTCACTGACACTGCGGCTTGGAAATATTTTTAGTCACTGTCTCTTCACAGCTGAGATAAGAGCCTTCATACTCATAGAACAGAAGAGGACAAGTTGATGTATGACACTTTTTCTGCCCCAGTAAACTTACACGTTCCCATGATGCAGCACTACACATAATAAGGTACTAATGGATTTGTGTTCCCTCAGTAAGGCCTGCCAGGCTTCTGCCTCTTGCAAGGCCCAGTGTACCTTCAGACTGACTTCAATGAATATATTTAAAAAATGCAGTCTGGCAGAGGCATCTTTCTACATTTAATAATTTAGCAGGGGAGGAATATCACTTCATTCAGACCTTATACAAGTCATTATTTTGTTTTACCTACTTTATGTGCTTTATTTTTGATTTCCCATCCATTCAATATGCTGGGAAAAGAAATGGTAACTCACCAGAGGAAGATACTTTTTTTAATTGGCTCACATTTAACTACTGGACAGGAACCAATCATTTCTTCGTTTACAGACACCGGGCACAGTTTCTCATAATTAAACGGAGTCTGCAAGCTCTACTATGAGACGCAAAATGTGTTGTAACTTCATTTCAATCTGCCACAGTCTTTCAGAGATCAAAGCCAATCCACTGACACGGGGGGGGGTGGGGGGGGGGGGGGTGTGTGTTTGAAATTCACAATGGGGAGGATTAAAATTCACACATGACAGTTTAATTTTACCCAGATTTTGCAGCTATCTGGTGAAATTACAATACATACAGTATGCACTAAATGAATTAAGCTCGTGCAAAATGTTTCCAACTAAATAAATAAAAGGACATACATGAGGTACGCCAATTTAACTAATTAAATCATTGACACATGATTCATTACAAGATTTGCTTCTGCATAATTTTGACTGTTTGGTGATGTGAAGTCTTTGAGAAGGACAGTTAGGATTGTTCTACTTTTCCGAATCATAGGTTAATTATGGTGTAAAACTGAATATTTCTTCACACTTCACATACTTCTCGGCGTTAATTAAATTAAATTAGAAATGGTGAGACTCGGCACTGTTAGCCTTCCTACATGGAGTCTCTCAACTCCCTCAGGATCAGCCATGGTGGCTGCTGATTTACAAGATAAACTCCTGAAGTCCATACCTTTAACAGAGTGTTTCTTCTCGAGCTGGTGCAGATCAGGCAGGATGTGCATGCAGTTGATGCAGCAGTAAGTGAAGAAGTCCAGCAGCACCACTTTGCCAGCCAGCTCCTTGTTCAAAGACAGAGGCCCCTCCGTGTTCAGCCATTCCAAGCCTGGAGCAAATCACAGAATGGAAAATGACGCTGTCATCTTATTAATTATGTTTAGTCACAGTGTAGGCAGACGCTTTATGGTGCCCATCACGGTCCTAGGAGGGTAATGGTAGTAGTCACAAAATACCTAAGGGTTATATCTGTCTCAAGCCTTACACAGCATTCATGTCACTTGGGGAAAAAAAGTTGGACCACTTGATTGATCAAAGCATTGACTTTGAAATACTCACAGCTTTAGAAGTGTTATGAAGCTATCAAATACCAGAAATAAATTACAGCTCGTGTCTGATAAGTTTTTTCACTCTTCCCTCACATGCACTCTGAATATTACATTGCCTGTTTGAAAATCTTTGTGTAACTTGTGTGGCTGCCTAGCTTTGCAATGCCTCCTTTGAAAAATGATTCTTAATCTCAGTAGCACTTGACCTGGTTAAACTAAGGTTAAATAACAGAGTTGAAGCGTTATCTCTCTTATTTTCATCTTTAAGAATGATGCAAGCACAGACTGAGTAGGAGAAAGAAGTAGCTCTCTTGATTTCAAAGTCTCAAGATTTTATCTGTTGGAAGAGAGCGATTGCACCTGGTGCACAGTGCCTAGTGCATGTACCATGTGCAATTGTTTTACTCACAACCCCTTTCTTATTCTTCTTCAACTGGGCTGTTATTAGTTTGATTCCAATGTGAAAAAGAAATTATGGCACTAAGGAAAATTTATATATTGCATATCTTCAAAGTATCTAAAGAGAAGTAACTAGGTAAATTTAAGGAAATCCTGAAATGCATGGGTTAAGAACACGGTTATAGTGACAAAAAGCAAACTGTAGTAACAGCTATGAATGCCTTTTGACCATTTTGCTGCTCTGGAAATGATAAAATTTTCAACACACACTGTAATCAAGGTAAGCAACACCTTTTTGCTGCTGTGCCCTGTTGGCCGTCAGGCAACCTCAGGTTGAGCCAAGGAAAATCCTGAAATTTGTCACCCTAAAGTACTCTACATATAAAAAACAAATATTTTAGACCAGTGTTCACTTTGCAGTTTCATAGGAGGACCAGGTTATTGTCCCATAAAACCCTGTTTATTAGGCTGTTTGGTGTACTACTGTAGATCCCCATCTACTGGTGTGTCGAGATACTGCCAACATGCTGCATCCCTTAACAGAGGGCCAAACTATAGATCCAACCTGTCAGAATCATCTGGTCAATAAACCTCTAATTGAGACCAGAATCTTGTACTTACCTGTTACTGAGAATAATTTAACATCAATATAATGTTTTTCTAATTTTTCATTCATTTGGTGTAGTTATAGCAGCTATATTATTGATCTAGTTCTTATGCTGTTGATGCTATTTTTTTTATGTAATGGCAAACATGCTACCATAATCTGTAGTGTAAACACTACGTAGTGGGTGGTTTTAATTTAGTCCAATATTTTGTAATGATAATAAATGAGAGACAAAAACTGGGGCAAAGTTTTTCCCAGAAATCCTGGTATCTACTGCTATCTAAGGCTGTATTACATTGAAACATTTTTCTGTACTGCAAGTTAAATTTTACACCACCTCTTATACATTTAACGCCTTATTTTGGAAGACATAATGGTTGTACAATGGAGTATGTCGCACAGCCCTGAGTAAGAAAAATATAATAAATATAAAGTCTGCGTTCTCATGCATTATATAGATTGGTAGATTATTTACTATGCAACATAATGCTGATTGCAACACAAAACTGCAGCTCTTCATTTCGTCTGAAATCAGTATTTGCTGCTAATGCTGGAAGAGGAACTCAGACGGTTAACTTTAGTAAAAGTACCAATACCACAGTTTAGAAATACTACTATTACAACTAAAAGCACTGCATTTAAAATCTTACTTGAGTAAAAGTACATTAGTGATATCAGCAAAAGGTAGAAAAGTAAAAGTACTTTGATTAATTATTATTTAAAAGATTGTTAACATTGATGCATCAATGTATAAGGAGCGTTTTGCAGTTGTTGCTGGTTGAGTTCAGGCTAGTTTTAACTAGTCTAGCGATTCCCAATCGAGGGGTCGGTCTACTCCCAAAGGGTCCCAAGATAAGTCAGAGGGGTCATGTGTGATTGATGGGAGTGTAAGGGTTAGGGTTGGGAAACCACAGAACCGGCACCGAGAGTCATGTCATGACATGCCTTGATAGCAAACTCAACTCGAACAGCTGCTATGCAGTGAGACACAGTGCTAAACGAGCTAAAGCTAAAACATGGCCTAACCTGTCTGGAAATCAGGTATCTTCAGGTCGTCTCTCTCGTCTAGTACTTTCAAATACTGAAGCACCAAATTTTCTTTCTCCTGCGGCGTCGTGGCGTCATCTAGGGCGACATCCAGCTGACTTTGGATAGGAAATAAAGTAGAGAGGCTGCACCGGGACGCCATGTTTCCAACAACACCCACCCTGTTAGGTAAATCCACGACGTAGATTCATGCGACTAAAAATATTCATAAATATAATTCACTAGAAATATTTTTCTGAATTTTAAATCATTGACATAAAAAAGGCTATGACTAAAAGCCTTTTTGATTGTCCCTGCATTTAATTAACGCTAATATGAGGTCAATTTTGCAAGATTTGTGGAAAGTGCTGCTTTGTTTCTGTAGCTGTTTTTACTAGATTCATTGTTGCACTGTGGCGGTAAGTGCTCGAGCTGCTAACCTGATGCTAACATGTTCTTATCGGAGCACACAGTGTGTATAGAAGAAAAATAGCTCCATATTGTAATTATTAATTATGAAAAACTATTTCAGCACCGCCATTTATACTGGCAACATTAAGGAATCTACCAGTAGTCATTAATCTACTGTAAAGTTTATTATATCGGCAACCGCGGGATGTTATTAAACAGCAACTCTTGTGTAATATCTGGGGTTTTGAGGAGGTCGTTGGGTAACATAAGGGACGTTACACTTTCTCGTCCTCCAAATGTCACAAAAGGACGACTCTGAAAATGACATCTGGGAGTATAAACCTCTTGAGAAGAAGAAGAAAAAGAGACAGAAACCACCGCCTGCAGTTACAACCGTCACTAAAAGAAGATGTACTTCAAGAAAAACCTCCAAGAGAGACACTGTTTTCTCAGACAAGGCACCTGAACGGACTGAAAAAGTCAAGACAGCTGAAAGTGGAGATTTTAGTACTGGTGTTCATGTAGACGGACATGGCAGCTCAGAGACACATACTGTACCCTCAAAGTTATCTCCTGCTCATGAGACAACCCAAACAGATAGTGCTGCAGAGGGACCGTCCTCTGGAGACTTTTGTCCTATGTGTCAGATGCCCTTTTCCATCTTGGTCGTACAGACTCAAAGATGGCATGTTGCTGAGTGTCTTGACACCGCCAGGGACAAATGCAAAGGTACAGAGATCCTCATATACTTAATATAAATGTAGACTAATACTCTTGATACCTATTAAATAAAAGCTCTTTCACAGTTTCTGATTAGCATAACATATGACAACCACTTCAGAAACCCCCTCATCAAATTGTCTATATCTATGTATTTATGGTCTTCTTTTAAATACACCTATTATCCTTCATTCAGGTGCACACATATCTCTATCAGTGGAGGATATGATAAAAGATTTTTATTATTTTATGTGTTATTGATAACATAGATAATTCACTTTGAAATGTCACACATTGCAAGATGTTCTTCATAGTCATTCCATAATACTTGGATAGATTCCCATGCTTATGACATACCGTATTGAGTTGTCATCTGACAACTGTATATAATTGCAGAATTGGTCATGTGAGGATTAAAAGTAATTTACTTTGACAATATAGTACTATATCCATTAAACTTGAATTTAATTACTTTTAAAAATTAGATTCTCCCAGTCAGGATTACAACTTGGATGTTGGGGAGAATATTATTTACAAATCAGAAACTGGTAATTATGATAATTCCCACATGACATGAACATGGCATCAGATCCTCAGTGACTGGTAAATGCCCATGTCTTTCAAAGTCCACGCCCCCAGTCTGTAACACAGGCTCTTTGTTCAAATTTTAAAGTCCTAAGCCCAATTCAAGAAAACCAAGACAACATAATCAGTGTTATTTTCTTTAGAAAGCTCCCTCGAGAGCCATAGCAGATATTATACAATTTGCTGAGTGGTACTTTCCATGACAAGTAAACTGATGTGTAAAGTTACGGGAATGCTTATTTAAAAATAGTGTTGGGAACTCCAATTGAATCTAGTATTTATTGTATTTTTAACTTGTATTAATTGCATAACTAGTTTGTTTTTCTTCCTAGAGACTACAAATGGTGTGGGACTACTGTTTTTTATACATGATCCCTGAAAAATAAATGGAACAAACTAAACTAAAAAAAAAGCACCTCACAGTCTCTGGATATCTGTATTGTCAAAATACAGAATTCAAATTTTGAATTTAGGTGCTTTTGAATGATTATAAATTTGTACTTTGCTCTCTATTTTTTTTTCTGTTCATATAGAGTGTCCAAAAGGTCTACAGTGCTCCTCCACCATCCCAAACCATTACAAGAAATTCAACCACACACTCCTGGCCCATAGTCGAGCAAACAGTGACATGGCCCTCCTCAGTCTGTCCCAGCAGGCCAAAACCACTGGGGAGACCAGCCTCAGTTGTCTCCAAGGACTGACAAACAATGAGGTGGATGAGTCTTCTTTAGAGACTTCACAGGACAGTGTTGTCAGTCTTTCTATCTTATCCCCTCAAAATAACATCACTGGAACACCTCCGTCTAAACTTACAAATGGACTTCTGTTTCTGCGCTCACCTGGCCCAGAGGATTTTAAGAAAAAGAAGGGCTGGTCGTCTTCTACCAAAAGCCAGAAGGCTATCAGTGCTTCCCAAGAAGGTAAAACAGAGTTTTCATCTACTCCTATTAAGGAAGATAATGGAGGACAAGATTTTCTCGAAAATGACCCTCCTCCTGAAAAGGTTGATGATGCCATATCCTACTCTCCTCTTTCTGAGCTCCCTGCAGAGACTGAAGTCAATAATAGTGAGTGCAGAAAAGCCCTTTTTAATTGTGATGCATTTGAAAATGACGATGAAGACTCAATGCTACTGTTAGGTGACGACTTCTCAAGTGAGGATGAACTCCTGACTGAATTTATAGATAATTTGGAAAACAATAATGTGTCAGTAAAGGACCTGTCTTCCTCAAACACCCAGCTGGAGTCAGTTGCCTCATTACTGCCTGCTAATCAGCTGGCAGCTGCTGCAGCTGGTGAAAACAGAGCTGATTCCACAGGTGAAAAACAAGCTCATGGTAAATCTACTTATGCCATCAATCCCTGTAAGACCAACATTCAATCTCCACAGAGTATTGTTTTAGAGCACCTGAGAGAAAAACTTTTAAGCCCAGATAACCTGCATTTCAAAAATTTGAATGACAGTATTCAGTCGGAGCAGCCTCACGCGAATTCTCATCAAGCGCCTTCATCTCAAACCATGCCGCCACAGAAGGGCCAGAGCAAGGCCGGTCAGGCCTCCAGTCTCAAGCAGACAGACATTGGGGTGTTTTTTGGCCTCAAACCCCTCAAGGAGAAGGAGAAAGAGGCAGAGAGTGGACCAGCTGAAATCTCTATTCCAACAATTAGCGAGAACTCAGGAAAGAGGCGACAAAGGAGAGACAGGACGAGGAGAAATAAGGCTGACACAGCCACAGATACCTCACGGGGGACAGAGACTGGGGATAGCAGTGATGTAGTGAAAGCTCAGGGAGAAGAAAGGAGAGGTTGGACCAGAGGATGGGGACGAAGAAGGAACAGAGTGAATGCTGATGGAGAAGTACAATTCCCGCGTTGTCCGTTCTACAAGAAGATTCCAGGTCAGTGAGGGACCATATATTATATTGCTGCATGAATCTGAAGGTTAAGCAGTTTTCTGTTTGTAATCGTAAATATTTGTAAAATTTTGTTCAGGTACAAAGTTTGTCATAGACGCCTTTCATTACGGGGAGATTGAGGGCATCACTGCCTACTTCCTAACACATTTCCACTCAGACCACTACGGAGGGTTGACCAAGAACTCCACGTTTCCAATCTACTGTAACAAAGTAAGTCATGTTTTGGCTTTTGTAAAATATAAATGACTTCTAATGTGTCGTCATTGCATTAGTTGGTGCTGATGCTATGCATTGTATCTGGTGGCATGCTTTAGACATATGTTAAGCTAATTATCATATAACCTATTTTATGAATTGATCTGCACAAGCCTATGTCCTTTTTGGCCTTTTTTGGCTAGGAAATTGTCATGGATGGTTATTAGTTTTATGCTGTGAATGAATAGCAGTCTCCCTTCAAAGGCCTGTTAGTCCTTACTAGAATACACTGGAAGATAGTCACTACTTAGAAGGTGCTACAAATCTTACAAATACTATTTATTTGCTTATTAAAAAGCTTCCCGTCTGCTCTTTTCCCGTGGAAATTATGAAGTAAATGCCTAATCCATTTGTTATCTCACTGCACTGACTCAGAGTATTGAAAATTTTACTTGCAGTCGGCAGCTATGAATACTAATTTGCCAGTGGCTCTGACCGTATTGGAGATGATTGAAATTTGAAGACCTTTGTGTCAGCTGTACAGGAAAAAACACTTCAAATCCACAAAATGTAGTTTGTCTGGGTCTCAGTTGGTCTTCTCCTTCACTCTGTTGTCCCTGTGCAAATGTTGCAACCAATTAAGGTGTGAATGAAGCAATAAACTGAATGAATTGAGGTATTCATCCAAAAATATATAATATTCAGACTTTGTAGTGCCTCTTTCATGTTTAGACACATTTTGCATTGTGCATTTTCTGTTAAGCTTACTGTGATATTTAAAAACATACCTCCTATAGAGAATAAAATATAATGGTGAAAGAGGAGGTTAGATGTAAGTTCTCCTGTCAAATGGGACACGATTTATCATGCTGGAGTGTGTGTTCTGTGGGGATTAAAACTAAAAACGGACTCTTTTGGGGTTTTCTTTATTTGGTAGGTCACAGAAATTGAACATGGGTGCTAGGTGGGTCATAGCCCAGAAAAGTTTGATCAGAATCACCAAGGAAATTTTTCCAAGTAGATTTGGGAATAAGGGTGTTATGGGTGAAGTACACAATAAACAGCAACATGAGTACTGATGCTGAGGCATTAGAATAATGATACTGTGTTTACCCACAAACAAAATCCTTTTGTAGCATTTGTGTTTTTCTAGCTAGTGGTGGCTGGTAAATCACTGTAAGTAAGCCACAGAGATGTGAGCTGACTTAACGGCTACCTCTTGTGGTCAGATTACAGGGAACCTGGTGAAAAGCAAACTGAAGGTGGCAGAGCAGTATGTCCACATCCTCCCCATGAACACCCAGGTCACTGTGGAGGGAATCAAGGTCATCCTGCTGGACGCCAACCAGTGAGTCACCCAGTTGACATCAACATCAGAAACTGAATAGTGATCATCAACTTAGAAGTGTCCACACAGCTTGTGTGGAGGGAGTGCTTTGTGGTGAGAAAGCTGGACCAGCCACTGATCTCATGTTGAGCTGTTTATGGCTTGTTACTGTAACTGTTGGTAAAGATGACACAGAGGATTGAGTGTGGAGGCAGACCACAAAAATTTACAGATCTATAAATGAGCAAAGGAAAAAAAACTGATACAGCAGCCATTATCATGAGCATTAAATTGTCAAAAGTTTAAAACAAGCGTTTTAAAGGAGGATACAGAGGCATGAGTGAAATGCCTTACATTCATTTCAAATTCAGACAACCCCAAGCTAACTACCTAGATTATCTTTTCACTGAAGAATGTTAAGACACTTTTAGGGAAACTAACTCTGTATTGCAATTTCTTCTGTCAGTTTGTACCATTACTTTTGAATTCAGACCTAATTATACCAACAGTTGTGATGGTCAGTCCCATAGTTTACCACACTAAGATTTTCCTTCCATTTTCCTAATTAGAGAAGATTGTTTTTTGTTTTATTACCCCAGATCATCTATGTTCTCACTTGATGCTCCTCTCGTCCAGCTTCACCTCCATCTGTCTCGGTTCTTTCAGTTGTCCAGGAGCTGCCATGCTGCTGTTCTCTCTGCCTGATGGACAGACAGTCCTCCACACTGGAGACTTCAGAGCTGATCCCTCAATGGAAACCTACCCTGAGTTACTTAGCTGCAGGGTGCAGACGCTCTACCTGGACACCACGTAAGTACCTCTTATATACTAGTACCAAAGGCAGGATTGTGGTTGTACTCTACTGCTGTTATGTGAATGAGCTAATACATAAACATACAGTAACAACCACTCCCTGAGGATGAGTTCCTCAGTACTGAGTTCAGATTTACTTCCAGTTTGGGTAAACTGTACCACAACTTCATGTCTTCAATCCACTAAACTCAGTAAAAGTGATGCAGAAGCCTTGAGGGTACTCAGATTTTCAATGTCCACTTTCTTGTCCCTGTAGCTACTGCAGCCCTCAGTACACCTTCCCCAGACAGCAAGAGGTCATCAACTTTGCAGCCAGCACAGCCTTTGAACTGGTGACGCTCAACCCACGTACACTTGTGGTCTGTGGATCCTACTCTGTGGGGAAGGAGAAAGTCTTTCTGGGTAAGTGTTTGGACTTAATGCACATACTTAATATTTGTCTTCACTCAGCTTTTTAAGTGCTTGTCTGCCACTAGAAGGCAAAACATGCAGACTTGGCATGATTTATAACTACAGATTATTACGTACTGTAGAATAATGGGTTTTGTCTAGACTGAAGGTCATTCAAAGAAAGTAACCCTTTGGACTCAGCTGATTTTCTAACTGAACATTAAAAGCATTTTTATTCTTTGGGGTGAAATCCTTGCATCTCCAAAAATGTAACCATTGTCAGGTTTTTTAGAGATTCATTTTTCTCAGCTTGACCACCATATTTAAGGTTATTAAGTGTGGTTTTTAAAGCTTTTCGTACACTAAAGAGAAACAGTATTTTGTCAACACAAATATGGGCATGTTATTCTTAAAATAACATTAAAAACAGCTTGAATTAAAGTTGCATGTGCTCTCCAACCTTTGTGCACATTCGTATTTAGGATTTAAGCACTTTAAGCTTTAGAGCAGCAGCAGTTTGTTATGCAGTTCTTTTCCTTGACTTATTAAAATCAGGGAAACTGTTGCCTCATTTTGAGGTCTGTAAATACTCAGACAGCACATAACATAAATTAAAATTATTTTGGGATAATTTTTACTGGTTAAAAATCAAATAAAGTAATCAAAGTAGTCATCCAACCTATTCCCTTGAGTACCCAGTTCAGCTTGGATTATACTGAATAGAGTTGGGGATGGGGGGTTTCTCTGTCTTGCACATAATTCAACATCAGTCAGATAATTAGGCAGAGTAATAAGTGACATTTTTGATGGCTAATTATGTTACTGAAAATTACATGGTAATTTATTCATTTAATTCTGGGAATGGTGATATGACTGCCGTGTTACAAAGTAAGGCATTGCCACAACCACAAACAGATGGACACAAAGTAATTTTTTTCTTTTTTGTCTGTAGCCTTATATCACTACCTCACCTTCCCTCCCATTGAAAGGTCATCAAATATGTCTTTTATTGAAAATTTGTGGCTTAGTGTATTTTGAGCAAAGAGCCCCTCAATATGCGTTGTCCTCATGTGGAGGCAAACTGTCCTCCGGTGACACACTTGAATACTGGTTTGCTCCTCATTGGTGTAGTGAAGTACTCAAAAACTCATGTTGTCCTCACAGAGTGAACAGCATGCATTCATTCTGTAATCAACTTTGCTTCAACAAGCTCTGCATGACATTGGAGCGGAAAAAACAAGAGCTGATTCAATTGTCTGTATGACTGTACTCATCCACTTTGTACTTGTTATTTCACAAGAGTATTTGTACACTTACAGCGCCACACTTTACAATGCAGGGAACACAATACATTATATTGAGATTGTTTGTTTGAAAAGGAGACATTCAAAAGTTTTATTTTTTGTCTTTGTTTTATATGTTCAAACTCTACAAGCTACACATTTATTCACTGTGTTCCAGTAAAGTTCTTCAGAACAGCTAAACTTTATTCTGTAATAAAATGTCCAAATTGTCAGTGGGGGTAACAAGGGTTTCTTAACTGCAAGTACATACTGGGTCTTAAAATGAAAAAGCTGAATTTCCCACATTCCTGGTTCTTACACCGACCTTGTTCTGCTTCATTCGTAGCACTGGCAGAAGTCCTGGGGTCTAAAGTGTGCCTCTCTAGGGACAAATACAACACCATGTGCTGTCTGGAGTCGGAGCAAGTCAGACAACGTATAACCACCGACTGGAAGGCAGCCCGAGTCCATGTGTTGCCCATGATGCAGCTCTCCTTCAAAGTAGGTGCAGAAATCTCATTTTCTGATTTTGAAAAGAGCAGTCATTCCAATGGGACCCAGAACTCTCAGGTGTATAAAATGTTATTTTATGGGCATGTTTAGGAAACAAAGTACATCAGCAATTAGAGTAAAACAACTAGCAAATATATCACATCAGACGTATATCCCTCAGGCATATGAGTTCTTGTACTCCAGTGATAAACACTGAGAGATGAGTTTAACAATTTCATTTAATAATAAACTTAGAGAAATGAGGGGGTATAGAGCTGGTGATTATAGTAATAAATAAATTCTCAGACTTTCTTTGTGTAAACTTCTCTTGTGTTTAACCAAGGGCTGTGTCTTATTTCTGGACAGTTTAACTTTGATGTGCAAACATGTCTTTTATTCTGCTTATGGTCTATTCATATGCAAGTATCTGGGAAATTAGTTAAAATAATTAGGAACTGCTAATTATGATGACCCTAGCACATCATCTCTCTAAAGCATTTAAATTTTCCTTCTGTATAAGCACAGATAAGTCCCAGGCTTGGTATAATTCACACATTGCTAGGCACAGAGAGGCTGACTTGAGAGAAATGGATGCAGTTTAGGTTTGAGCTGAGGCCTTCTGAGTAGAGAGTCTATGATGAATTTCAACAAAGAGTCACGATAACTTGGACAAAGTACATTGAAATAAATTGATAAAACTGTATAAAACATTAAGTTAGAGGTTTGCGCACCTTTTTATAGTAAATTGGACACATTTCCTCTATTTTGTTTATCATCCAGTAAACAAGTGCTTGACTAAAATAAATAACTATATTTCAATGTCAGTGTTTTTGATTAGCAAATCTCAAAGGCACAACAAGACCTGCACTTGAGTTTAGTTAGGAATCTGAGGATGAAGCTTCCAAGTGTTGCTAATAAATTGTCGAATCTCACTGAGCACAAAGGCTACTTTGTCTCCAGAAACTGCAGGATCACCTGGCACGGTTTTCAGAGCGCTATGATCAGCTGGTGGCTTTTAAACCCACTGGTTGGACCTTCAGCCAGCAGGTGGAATCAGTGGGAGACATTCAGCCTGAGATCAGCGGAAACGTCTCCATTTATGGTACGTATTTATTTTCCTTCTAATATAGTGTCCAGTCATTTGTCAGAGCTGTGACTGTTGATGCTCTTTCAAGGTATTTGAGGGTCTTCTACAAAGTTGGAGGTTTTAGAGCCGTCTGCCCTGAGAGAATGCCCCTCTCTCTTTTACTGACCAAAAGCAGTCCCTTACAATGGTAGATGATCTTTAATTGTCACCCTCCCACACGCTGCGAAGGCTTAATCAAAACGGCGGCAGGTTCCTTGCCAAAAACAGGTTCCCTCACATTATTATGTTTGGCCCACAGCTCCCTCTTCTGGCAAGGTGGGGAGGAGACTCAGGGAAAGGAGTATGAGGATTAACAATAGAGCGTGTCTGAGTTTCAGGTTCACATCAACTAGGTGATGAGAGGGTGGCAGAAGTAAGGGTGATGCTGGGTCTTGTATCCTCAGTCATGGACAGCACCACAGGGGAGCAGTCTCACATTGAAGCCCGGTGCTGAAATGGGTCATGACTTGATTTGCCACTGCAGATTTGGCCTGTTTTTCTTCCTGTCCGCCGTTTCATGTTCTGAATAGATCCATCAACAGCATCAGCCATCTGGCCCGTAACCTACAATCACCAGCTAGAGGCTTTTGCGACACACACTCGCATATAATTTCTTCCTCCTCAGCAGTTTGTGCGTCACTCAGGCGGAAGCCAATTTTCTCTCTCTCTCTCTCTCTCTCTCTCTCTCTCTCTCTCTCTCTCTCTCTCTCTTTCTCTCTCTTTTTTTTATCTCCTCCTCCTTGCCCTTCCCAGCCATATGCTGCTGCTACTCCTCCTCCTAATATTGTTCTCTGCATGTGGGAGGATTGACTGTATACTTCAGTGGGCTTAGTTGCAGCTAGATCTGTTAAAAGCAGTGGTGGAGCACATTAAAATCTGTGGAGGGATGAAGGAGGACAAACAAGAGGCAACAGCTCTGCAGCAGTTTCAAGCTGTTTTCTTATTATCACTTCCAAACAAGAATATGACGACATTTGATGGTCTTAATGTTTCAGCATCTGAAATCTGCCATGTCTCCTCACAGATAATCTGAGCCCATGGGTCGCTCTGTTGAGCATCTGATTCCTCTTCTGAGACTTTGCCTTGTTGCTTGTCTGACTGGCTTCCTCATACTTTTAGACATCTGGCTCAGTGACGGTGTTTTACCTCGAACTAAATCTCTTCTGTGTTCACCGAGATGGACACTTCATAATAGAAATTTAAGGAGAAAAATATCAACGCAGATGAGCCGAAAATGAAAATCATGTCTGAAAAGTCCTGGTTCAGTTCCAAAGCACGTCTAGCCTCGTTCCTTGTAGGACTTAATGAGTAAATTAACAAGAACAACTTACACTTGTAATTGTCCTGTGAGTAGAGACAAAATGTGCGTTATCTTCAGGCTTAAGGCTGAAGTCATTTTCATCAAAGCCACATTTGAATCTTTTTGACAAATGCACCGTTTAAAGCAAAAATCTGTCTCAAGTGCAAAAGTTTGGGGACATGACGATAGTTACTCCTGTTTTCTTGACAGGAATCCCATACAGTGAACACAGCAGCTTTCTGGAGTTGAAGCGTTTTGTCCAGTGGGTCCAACCTCTCAAGATCATTCCTACAGTCAACAATGGCAGCTGGACCAGCAGGAAGGCTATGGAGAAGTGTTTCAGTGAGTGGCTCATGGAAACTAAAGCTAAACTGTAGCTTATTTACCAGAAAACTGTTGAACTGTGAACTCTGCTGCTCGTTGGTAACGAAAGCAAACCAACTATTTTTCATTACTTGAAATGCCGTATGAGCATGGGGAACAAATGTATCTTAACACACTTTTAACACACTATTATTTGCATTAACGTTGCTTGCCTCTGACAGCTGAGCTCGTAACAAAAGCACATCAACACTGATAAAAGGGGTATAAAGGTTTTGCTTTCATCCACAATGGGCTGAATTAAATTAACTGACAACTTTGGAAGCGGTTTTGTGTGAACAAGATCTGAGGCCCTACATGTATTGTGAACCACAGTTAGACCCCTGTCACCCAGAAGTATTTTACATTGGAACTGATTTAATTGGATGTGTGCGGCTGCTGCCTGCTGTGGCCACTTCCAATTATACCACTGTTCGTCACCAAGATGTGAGTGCTGCTTTGAAACTGTGCAATTCCTATTTCCTAATGTCTGTATTTTTTTGTACGTAATTAAAATTTTTATGCTAACAATTTTGCCCCTTAATTTTTTTTTTTTTTTTTTTTTTTTTTTTTTTTTTTAGCAGCATTAACCTGCACATCAAGAAAAAAAACATTGTACATGAAATTCAAGGTGAGTTTTATTATTTCTTGAAAAATTTGCAAACTTGGCACAAGGGTTTTCAAGGCTTCATTATATGGATTTCCAGTGTCCATCAAATGACATCTTTACTATTCAAATCATGCTAACGGATGGATTTGTGCAGCATCATCAGTACTGCTTCTGGCAAATAGAGTACTAAGGAGGAATGCCACTCTTTTTATAGTAGCTTTTAAAAATGTAAACTTGTTTTGAAGGGGGTGCTATCAGATCTGTCAGTAGTGTATCTCAGACAGCAGAGATGTGTCGTACACACACACACACACACACACACACACACACACACACACACACACACACAGAGAGAGAGCTTTTTGAATGTCGCTCTCTGTAAATGAGGCTTTTTCACAGAGTCCCTGCGTGAGTTCTCCTTTCATGTAGAAAATCTTTTCTCATCTGCCTGAGTTGCGTTTTCAGTCGTCAGGGGCCAAAGTGAGGAAATTGTTGGTCCTAAAAATTGAAAAGATTCTACATGTTGAAAATGTTTGTACTGTAGACTGAATGTATTCAGTCAACTATATTTTAACCTACTAACAAATTAATTTTCATATGTCATACCGGCAAAGAAATCATGAAGCGAGGCCTGGCATATTTTTGTTCACCAAAGCTTCTTGTAAGCTTCCAACACGTGTTATTTCTTTCGTGCAGTGTCGATGATAAAAGTTGCCCAGGATATTGTATTTTTTTTTTATTTTTTTTTTTTAAAGCAATCTCTACCTCTTGCCTCGCTTCCTATTTTATATCATGCTTGTGTTACAATGCGTCTCACCCACTTTAGTAGGTGACTGATATAATAACCACTCTATTACTATGTGCTCTCAGTAAGTGGCTCTCAGTAAGCCATGTCTAATAATAATTTCATTTGGTATTCTTCCTCTAGGCATGAATGAAATGTATTAAGTCTTGCCAAACTGAAATTGAATTGACTGGAGCGCTTGTTGAAATGTCTTTCTATTTCAGTTAGTAGTCTCATGTATTGATGTCTGATTTTAGAGAAGAATTGCGTCCACAAATAATGAGTCTGCCATATGAATAACAAAAAGGTTATTAGTGGTATTATCCTGTATTAAGATGTGAAGAAGGATGACATAAAAAAGGAAGCTGGATGTTAAGGTTCTTTCACCTCTAAACATTCACCCTGCTGAGCATGACACTGAATTCATGCCAACTTTTTATACGTAGATACCCTTTGTCCCTTACTGTATGCTTCAGTTACAACGAATGAACTGGTGATATTTTGAAAAATAAGAGGGTTTTATGAAACTGGTCAAAAATGCTGTGTGTAAGAATGTGTTCAGATGTCTTTTTATTAACAAGTTACCACAAAGATTAAAAAAAAAAAAGAAAAATGACAGATAATAAACCTTAAGTTTGTAATGTGTAGTCTAGATAGCAGATTTAACTTAACTTTATTGATTTTTGGAGGTCGAGCAACTGGAAATAATCAATTTGTTACAATTCCAGTGAATTATGTCATTTTACTGCATAAACTCGGCAGCCTGTTTTATGTACAGTGTATTTTACATTCCTCATACCCAGTTAAACTTAGTAAAGAAATACAAAAGGTCAGTGTTTTTAACAAATCAAATTTATACATAATCATTTTACAAATAAAACATTTTTTCCCAGTGTAACCTGCATTTGCAACACCCTTGCAAAGTATGCATGTACTTATAATGGAGTGTATTTATAATACAGCACAGCTTGAATATCACAGTTTAAGAATGGACTTGAAAAACAAAGGTCCTGACTAGTTTCTCATATCTATTGAATGTTAAAACTTGAAACATTCACAATGGAAAGGCTGATGCGACATCATGAGTAAAGGACTCCTCTCAATATTAACAGTATCTGGTAATATGTGATGTTAGTTTATAAGCGCGCTTTGTCCTTGTCACTAGATGTCTTATTGTCTTAGTTCAGGAGTGACATTAATCAATCGACATAATTTAAAGTGGAAAACCATCTTCCCAAGTCATGTTAAGATTACATTTCTTATTCAAATCAGAGAGAAATAGGTGAAACATAGCCTGAGGAGCAACACCATTCTGTCTGCCCATCAGTTCACAAGAGTCTGCCTGAGGTGTGGGCGACACTAAACACTGGTCTCTACATCTCTTGTAATTCGTCCACCCCTAATTACTGTCGGGAGGTATTCATAAGATAAATAAGAAGTAAAGTTAAAAATCCTGATGTATGGAGTTCTTTTTTTCATATAAACAAATACTAACAGCATGTACATAGAGGAGACATTTTAACATGCTGTGTTTACCAATCTATGTGTGCTCTAAAAATGTCATTAGGTGTCATTAGCCGGAAATGGCCTACAAAGAAATGTAATCGCGTGCTGCAAACTGGAAATGAATCAGCATTGCTGGGTGCAGCTCACATGTTCTTCCTCAAGCTAAGACACAAATAGATATGAATAAAAAGTGGTTTACTATAGTGGGATCATAAATGTTAGAGCGCATCCTTGCTTATGTATAACTTAATCTTTGTTCTTTAAAACAATTATGATCACTGTTGCTTCCTGTCATCTCAGATTAAAGTTAATTATTAAAAATTGCTTCCCTGCAGAGGTCACAGAGTGAGAGTTGGTCCCTACCCCCTTTTCCTCAGGAGGCTCTTGCCTTTTGCCAGGCCGCCATTGTATATAAGAATTTGTTCCTAACATCTTGCCTGGGTAAATAAAGGTAAAATAATGTTTAAAAAAAATCAGAAACCTTTGCTGTCAGGGTATTTACAAGTTGTCTGCATATTCCGACATTTTTCCACTACATGCCATGCACTGTTTGAGTTTTGTCCCGCATACTCTTTTGTCCTGGGTACAGAAGCTTGTGTCATGAATATCCCCTTCTTGGCACCATAGTGCTATGAGGAAACGTTTCGGTAAAACTATTTGTTTCCCTCTGAACACATTTTTTTTTTTTTTTTTTTTTTTTCTTTTATTTTAATTGACTTTCAGAATCAAACAAATATTTCCATCAGATATATGTCAGATACTGTGTGTATATATAATAAATTCATGTTTGCCACAAGTTTCAAAATAGGCTAGTACTTATCGAAGGTGTACACATATAGAAAGAAAAAACAAAGGGAGATGCTGTACAAGTATAAGTGATCGTTTCTTTACAACATAATCAATGATTTGTGAAAATAAGACTATTTTCCCAGTGTGAAGCAGATAACATTAATTTCTATGTAAATGTCCATTCATGCATTTAAAGCTGGGCCCTCCTGTGATAACAATTTCCTGGTAAGACTTTTTTACCATCCACCAGAAAATTCATTAAATATTAATATCTCCACTCTTGAGGTATATGCCCAAAATATATGGTCTTACTTTCTAGGGGCATTTTACATTTAAAAATGCCTTGTAAGGCATTGTTTACCCCCCTCTCTGATAGGCTCTTATAATGGGGCAATCTATAGCAAATACAACAGTCGTCAGTCAAGTCATAAATCATGCTCTGTTAAAGCTGCATGTCGTTTACACAGAACATACTGTATATGTGTACATACATTGTGAGACATGTACAAGATTGGTAAAGTAAGTTATATCTGTCTTGTTTAACCTTTACCGTCCCTTTTATTTTTTTTTATTTTTTATTTTTTTTTTAAATCGAGTAAAGTAGTAGAACGACAGATCAACAGGAACAGAATTTGGTACAAACTCACCAACTGTAGGCAGGAAGTGCTCCTAAAGACTGATTTAAACACACCCAGATACAATAGTAGAAGTAACTCTCATCTCTAACTGTCAGCTTGCGGCCAGTCACTGCAGGGACAGTTTGGAGAATGCAGGTGTGGGTGTCCTGGTAGACGCAGGATGGTCAGTTTCACCTGAAAAGAGAAGAAATTTGCCTCTCAGATCACAGACTGCGTGGATGCATACAAAACAGCGACACAATGAATACGGACAATGTGTTGGCGCCTTTGCAGTTTGCGAGTAAGGAATGTACCTCGTTCTTCAGTGACTTGCTGATGTACGTGTTGAACTCCTCCACGCTGCTGACGTGCAAGTCATTGATTGCCAGGATTTGGTCTCCTTTGTGGAAGAGACACACTGTCTGTGGCTGGCCTGTCCACCCGGACACACTGTGACACATGCACAATACACGCAGTATTTGACATTCTTGCTTTTTAATGACAAACTGTCGCTTTGAGTAAAGTTGCCTTTCACTTCACCCTTCTAGATCCAGTATGACAAGGCAGTTGCTAGTAAGAACAGAGGCACAGCTAGGCATTCTGTGCTCCTTTATCGTCCCTCTCCAGCTGTGAGCCTATTTAATCATCACCATTTTCATGTAATGGCTGTAGCCACTTGATCACTACTGTCTGTTCTACTGCAGGTTCGACTCGTGTTTTAAGGCTTGTCTACACAGTAGGCGTTTCGGTCGTGTTGTTGGCTTGTCCGTCTCCTACGTCTGACAGAACGGATGTGCTTTTATTTGATCAATCCAGCTGTCTACACAGGCCACATAACGGCTTGCATTTTGGGTGACCTACACTGAACCCTGTGCATGAACACATCCTGTCTAGACAGGCTGCTCTGCCAACAGTGCTGCCTTCACTACCAGTTACTGCTGCCTTAACCTTTCAAGTAGTTGAGACTGCAGACTAAGAACTATAGATAGAAGTCCAATAAAGGGCCAGGCCTGACATGACAACTCAACCAAGATAATAATAATAAAGCAGAATCAACAACTTAACTGAGCCTGACATGAAAAAAGCAGCTAAGAACTAACATTTTTTTCTCTACATTATATTGAGAATTTAGATTTTGTGCAAATAAATGAATTAATCCAAAGAGCAGTTTGTAAATCTCAGTGTAGATACATGCCCTAATTTCCACACGGTACAATACAGCTGAAAGCTCTGAACCATCCAGCACAAATGAAAAGACAGCCCCTGCACCGCAGCATCAAGCTGGACTTTTCTCAAATGCAAAAAAAAAAGCAAACAAGGACGTGCAGCATCACCACCGGCACTGCCTGATGTGAACTATGCTTTCAAACAAACGGAGTCTGTAATTTCTGGGATGAAGACAAATCTGCAGTAGAACAGTCAGGAGTGAATGTGGCGCACACATCTGTGGGTTTTTGTGTTTTCATTGATATTAATAGACACGGGAAAAAAACAAAAACTACTGGACAGTACATTTGTATCTGTATTTTCTTTTCTTTGTGTTGCATTGCTTAAGCCTTTCCACATATTTCAGTCAAAGAAATCTAATATGTGAGATGTCAACTTACCTTGGTTTCCTATCCACTTCTGTTAGAGTCAGGTGTTTTTTCAAATCTGCCTGCCTGACCTCAATATCTCTTTCCTCTGGGGTGATGGGGTTAAGACTAGAAAGAAAAATAACAATAGCTTTATTCAATGGCACTGTATATATTTTGACATGCTACAAAGAAACGCATCCAAATCTTAACCCTTAATGCATTAAGAATAGTTTGCTCGTCAGCATTGTAAGGAGAAAAATTTTCCTAAGATCCTCCTACATCTCTAGGTTTGCGTTGCATACTAATTTTAGTATTGGTTGGTAAAATAATTGGCATATGTTACCAAACCTACTCCTTGACTCAAAGGCACAAAATGCCTTCTAATAAGAAAAAAAAAGTCTGCTTATATGTGGTGAACAAACATAAAAGCAGACATTTGTAGTTATTTTCTCCTTCCTCCATTATATAGGCATGAGTGTCTGTATAGATAAGCACCTCTAATTTTCTTTGAACAACTCATTTAAATTCTGGCTGCAAAGTCACACGAGTTATTAATGTTTAATGTCAAGTGCTGCTTATTATTATTCGACTATTCTTATACCACCGTCTGCTCGCAGAAACCTCCAGAAACTACTCTAACCCGTCCTGCAACATGTCAGTGCCGGTCCCAGGATTCTGAGTCACCTTAAATGTGGCCATGTCTATATTTTATTTGTTCTGTGGAACCATTACAAAGCTGTTTCTGACTTTTTGATTGGCACAGATGGTGCCACAGTGGGGTGGGGGGTTCAAATGTCTGCTTGTACTATTTACAAGTAGAGCAACTGTTGAACGAGCGTACTCATGCCTCACTTTAACGTCTCTTATTCAGGTGATCATCTCATCCTACATAAATGTCTCTAGTGTTTGTCTTATTACCCAAAATTCAAACAGTGCCTCCCACTTGGCTGCTATGTTTTTTGGATTCAAGGTCAGTTGCTTCAGCATCTCACCTCTCAGTAGAGCTTTGATTTTCCAGGGTGAGCATATTTGGACTCTCCACAGGAGAGATTGCCCCGTTGTCGCTGGAGCTGCTGCTGAAGTCTGACAGATGTGTTTCTTCTCTGTAAAAGCAAGTGATATCATGAGGGATCTTATAAGGGTACATGTCTCAGTTACATTCAGCTGGTAGCCACTTATGTATTCTTGGCTGGCACCTAAACAAAAGACCATGAGACAGCTTGGGGAGACAGTGGGAATAAACCGCACAGAGGCTGTCGTGCATCAGGAGCCAAGGCCAATGCTTTATGTTGATGACTCCCACTGAAGCCACAGAATGACACAGAGGAAGAACCATCTGAATCTGCATGCACTAACATGGGGGGGGGGGGGGACTCACAGACGGATAGCATAACAGCAGATTCTGGCACTGTATTAGATGCTTTAGATAGAGAGAAATCCACATTTGTCCTTGTGGCGGAAGATAACAGCAATAAAGAAGGAAGAGATGATTGATAAAAGGTGCAAGAGCATTGTATATGCCAAAAACCAGAATAGGTTTCTCTCAGTTGCATTAAAAAGGGGAGCAGATGTCTTGAGGTTTTTAAAAAGTAGTTCATAAAAGCAGCATGGGAGAAGCAAATAATTCCCTAATCACTGTGGAGGCGCAAGAGGAATTCTAATTAAGAGGCACTTTAGAAACAAGTCTTTTGACCCATATGCCAAATGCAGTGGAGAAGATGGTCTTCAGTGTGGCAGCACAGTGGTTGGCCACTTAGAAAGAAATCAGACATCAGTGTGAGGCACAACATTATCGCATAGTTTGATATTACAGCACATTTAACAAAGCAAACAGCAGAGGAGAGTATGTTTACACAGGAGATGATGGCATGGAAGAGCAAGGGGAAGTGATCGCCTGTTGTGCTGGTGAATAACACACTTGTCTGAATAAACAGGAAGGTCAAATGTGATTGGCTAAAACCTGCCCTAACATGCTCCCTAGACACAAAGCTGGATCTACGCCCTCGGCATTGTTAGCATTGTAAGAGCCTCGCTAATTCAAAAGATTTGTTTTTCTAATTTATTTGGTAGTAACGTTAAAGGAAGAGATTCCTCTTCCAAATTAAAAGCTGACTCTAAACAATTGAACAAACTTTTTTTCAGTTCACTACACACAGGAGTTTTCCAGCTACACTTAGCCTGGAGTGGAGTGGTAGTGTATGGTGGCTAATATTTACATTATTTGATGATAATCACTTGTGGGCCAAAGTGTCTGTAGTTTTGGCAAACGTCCCAGAAATTTGACATTAAATACTTAATACAGTGCTTTGCATTAGTGTGAAAACATCTGGTTAGCATCTGATTAGCATTAGCGCATATGAGTTGCAGTGCAGTCCACTGTGATTGCAGAAAGCCATGTAGCTTATTGGGGATCTAACAATAACAAAATAACAGCCAACACTGCGGAGATGTTAATCAGTCACGCCTGACCTGTAAGACCAAGTTCTGCTCCTACAAGGTCTGAAGAATCAGCATCACATGATATATTTTCATGGCTCATTTGTATATAAATCAGTGAAGCTTATCAGTACCATTTTGCTCAGTTGAAACCATTTAATAACATGAAAGGATTCTTTATATCTAGCCAAGAGCCTAAGTTGCCAAACAGGCTCTCAGGTGCCTCTCTTAGATTCTTGACTCGTCTTGGAGTGTCAACAGTTTCGTGGTATAAAAACACCCTTGTTATTGTCAGTTTAGGTGTCTGAGCCAATGAGGTCATGGTTACTTCTGATGAGTGAGCTATTTTGGTATCTAGGGCACTGACAAAACATGTCGCACAACGAGCGTAGGGCACTGACACCGGAGACAAAGCGAAAAGTCAAAAATACACATAAGGCCCACAGAAAAGAAAAAAAGACCATGCAGTTAATCAGAGATCTACCTGTCTTCAGTGTCCGTCTCCTCATTGAACGGGGGCAGTGGAGAAATCTGGGTCTTCAGTTTCTTAAAGGCCTGAGTGACAGACCTCATCAGACTGCCACTGGTAACTTCTTCAACTTCACGGTCCCTAGAGGCATTTGGAACAATCAATAGCTTTCACTTAAACAATAATTAGCAATTATCATTATTAGGAAATGTGATTTTTTTTTTCTCAGTGATCTAGCACTCTGTGTATCAAACTTACACTGCCTGAGCTACTTGCTCATTATGTCTAATTTCCTCCATTGTTTCATATCTACAAGAGATAGATATTCTAATTAGCAAACAATCAAACAACAGGAAATACTGTCAGAATTCCACATGAACAAACGTGACGCGTGATCATTTTTCTCTGACAAAGGGAAAAAGTAATTAACACTCACACTGACTCCATGCTCTTGCCAACGGTGGAACCATTTTCCCAGACCTCATTCACAAAAATAGGAAAAAGTTACAAATATTATTACTTACAGTACACATTAGTTACAGTGCCACAATTAAGGAGCTAAGCTGAATTAAATTAATCACAATATTAAATTCAGCTTGACTGGTACGAGACACATGGCCAAGTTCAAGGGCTAAGTTGATTAATCAATTAGTTGATGGACAAAAAATGAATCTGCAACTATTTCAATAATCGATTAATTGTTTTAGTCATTTTTTAAAGGAAAAATGCATTCTCTGCTTCCCACTTGTCCAGTGAGGATTTGATGCTTTACTTTTTCATATATGATAGTAAAGGTGAATATGTTTGGATTATGGACCTTTGGAAGACCTCTCTGTGGACTCTGGGACACCTTCCTCTATTTTTAAAAAATATATATTTTTAATGTATTTTTTAATTGATCAATCAAATTATATATATTAAAATAACTTGCAGGCTAATTTATATTGAAAGTAATTAACAACTGCAGCCCTACTTGTACTTGTCTCAAGTAGGATCTCGGATAGTCATAGATTGGAGGCTCTGATGAAGGTCTTCTGGAATAATCTTCATCCTGTTGGCCAATCAGAAAGCAACGTGTCTGTATGTCACCAGAAGGAAAATAACGCTTACAAATTACAAACAGTCAGGTCAAGATGTTGCACCTTTGATTTTCCAGTGAGACCCAGAACATTTGGGGTTGGATCAGACGTGGACCGTATTTTTAATGCTGGCTGAAAAAGAAAACAAAAACACATATTAAAACATGCTTGTGTACAGTTTTAGTGTGATTACAGCAAGTTCCACATTATTCTGGAAGCAGTGTATGTGCTGCTTTCAGCCCCTTCACCTCAGTGTGCCTGGGTTGGATGCACTGGTTATAAGTGTGGATTTAAGTTAATATAGTGAATGTATGGCTATATCAAGATATATAAAGGTGTCATGTAACAGTGAGTCACTGAATAACAACGCTTGGACTCTTCTGGGGGAATTTCACAAAAATTGAATAACAAATCTGCCAACAAGCTGCTATAAATGCATGTAGGTTAATATTTAATTAGAGTTTATATTTAATTAACTTTTTGAGAGGGGAGTGTTTGTTATGCAACATGGATTCCCAGCAGGGATCAAACCATTGGTGTGGCAGTTATGTGACATGCACTGCAACCATTCATGCCAGCGAAATGTTAAATGTGTTGAAATGAAAAAAGGGATTGGAACAAGAAGTCAGTCAGCACCACAGAGCCATCCAGTCGTCCAACAGGTGGACTCAAAAAGGCAGCCATGAAAATTCCAGGAGTCCGTCAACATGCAGACAGAAGCTATAGCGTCCCCCTAAGTAGGCAAGCCCTTTTTAACAAGCCCTTTGCTCTCTAGATGAGTATGCACAATTGACTCTTGAGTGCATCACCCAAAGGAATGTTGTGATTGATTGATTTGGGACAGTCTCAGTAAGCCTGAGTTAGTAATAGGTTGACAGGATCCATGCAGAAAGAATTTGCCAATTCATGCTGAGCTTTAGATGCAATGGACCAACCTTTTCAGGCTCAATGGCTGAATTCTTTTTCCGCATGAAAGGGTTTGAAATAACCTGGTAAAACAGGGAGAGAAAGTCTATTTTTAAAAGTAGAGAGCTGATGGATAAGCACGCTTAGTAGAGGACTGATGAATCTGTACAGTGAGGACTTTACATGAATTCATCAGTGACACTGGGAGAATTTAAAGTGAGCACATGTAGTGCTGTGAGATTGGAGGCAGAGGCTGTAACTGAAACAATTAAAAGGAAAGGAGCGACAGAACAAAAAAGCATATTATTGCATAAAAAAATCTTGTTGGCATTCATTTGAGCCTGGTGTCTTGAATATTTACCTCAACTGTTCGCTGCCCATTACACAATTCCTTAAGAAGTGAGAAAAGTAGCTGGTAAGCAAATATGATAGATACAAAAAAGTACAGTGCAAGAGATTCTTTTGACTCCATAAGCTGTTACAAAATATCATAAAAAAGATCTAAATGTACCTCTGAACTCATAAATTTATGTGGCCGGTTTTTGAGGGCATTAAACAGGTCAGAGAACCAGCCGTCCACTTCATAACTAGAAGAAAGAGGGACAAATTATGGCTATTACATTCAATTTAAAATTCAATTCTAAAGTCAAATATAGAGTGGTAATAGTGACATTTTGCAACAATTTAGTTGTGGGCAAAGTGGAAGGCAAAGCCATTATCAGCTGCTAGACTGTTACTAAACACGAAGGCAACATCATAATTTAATTTTGATTGTTAGACCTCCCAAAATAGTAGATGGTATAAAGGGCAGTGGGAAGTGTTTTATGAGGCACTGTGAAAGTGTCATTAGGGGCCTTGAGAGGAGGATTGGCCAACCCAGCTGTGGCCTTAAACTTGGTTACACCATCACTGGCTTTCAAATCAATGCAATTCATGCATTTAGGACTGTTCTTCTGCACATTGCCACTGCAAAATACAAAGCCAATCTCTTCCAAATGTGGTGAGAGCAAAAATGGTTAGAGATGGAACTTTATTTTGAAAAATACACAGATAAAGTGTGATTAATGTGGATTAATAACAGGCTTTTAATTCATTAAGATTTTAGATGGGGTTTTTGGGCTGCTGGGTGCTCATCCAGACATTGACTTCACTCCCACATTTTCCTACACTCCCCCAAAACCAGCACCAATAAAGGGGTGAGTCATAATAAAAGGTTCATAATAAAAGACATTTTTGTTTATGTGTGGTATGTCAGGTGTTTTTACAGCACAGCATCATAAAATGCATTGGAGTTGTTAAAGGAGCTATAAATTCCATCTTTGTGCTTTATATAACCCTTCAAAATCAGATAACTGACCTGTTTTCCCCCACGAAGAAGTAGTCCCGGTCTGCAGCCCTGATGAAGAGCACGCATGAAGGGGAGCACTTGAAGCTCTTCTGGATCCATCCCCATCTCTGGTGGTGTTGAGGGCTCCCATGCAACTGTGAGACTCTTAATACAAGAACACAAAAGATACGGATGTGAAATGAAAAAAATAACATTTAGTCCTAAAAGGAATGTAAAAAAACAACATGCATACAGGCTTATAAGGAGATTTTGGTAAAAAATAGTTGAAGTAGTATGTTTTATATTCTTATTGTTTTATTCTTTAGAGGTTACATAGAAAATAAAAACTAAATTGCTATTAAATGGCCTGTTTGATGACATACTGTGCTAAGTCGATCCCTCCAAGTGGCCTGTCCTGTTCTTCCGAACTCCTGAAGTACTTTAGATGATGTTCCTGATCACTGACTTTGAACAGGACGAAATATCTCTTCTTCCATGATTTCTGCAGGACAAACATAATGAAATAAATTATGAAATGTAATGAACACACACACATAAATATCCGCAATATATTGCATTAATTCTGCTTACTGTCACCTCTGCCTTCAATCGTTTTGGAGGAGGAGACTTGTACAAATATCCAGATCTTATTTCAGTCGATACTTCAGCTGGTCTGTAGAAAACCGCATTTCCGCCTAAGAGCAAAAGAAAAGCTCGTTGTTTGTGATCAGTTGTTCAAATCTTTGTTTACAGAAATCTGTACCTTTACCTTCCTGTAGGCTCCATTTGGGAAAACCAGCAAATGATTCACAAAGGGGGAAAATACAAGTAACTGAAAATAACTAAAAGATAATAACTAGAACAAAAAGGAAGCGATTAAAACATCAGCACATTCCCGCAGATCAGCTGTAAAAACAGGTTTTCTGATGCCCAAAGACACGAGAAAATAACCACAATAACCATAAATCAGCTTTCCAGAATTAACACATTACCTATGCTCTTCTGCTTATGCATTGTGACACCGGACCTGAACAAAAATAACACAGGAATCAATCAGTCTCTGTCTCTTCAAAACAGCATAAAATATCCAGGGGTAAATAGTTAACCTTTTAAACTAACACTGTAGGGTTTAAAAATAGTCTCATGCCTCTGTGTAAGCAGAGCAGGAACTAGAGCTCAATGCACAAAAAGAAGCCTTGTAAGGTTCACATGTAAATGTATGAGGAAAATAAGATTTTATGACTGTTGCCTTTAAGTATGAATGAAAAAAAAAAGCTATAATATGTATGTAAACATAACATGCTTACCTGTGGAGCACCTGTTCACTCTGCTCACCTCACTGGCTCTAACAAAGGTAAGTGCTGCACGAGGAAGCTGGATGCTCTCCTGTTCCTGGCGAACAGTAACAAGGTATTCGTCATTAGAACTGGAGTTTCTGGTTCTTTTTATGCTGTACCTGCTGTGTTGTTTGGTTTAAGGACCTCTCCCCCCCCCCCGACAAAAAAACAAGACAAAAAACAACAACAAAAAGTAGTCCCTCTTTTTTGAGTGAATATTTTTGGGAAATTTAGGAAGTGATTGCGTGCTCATGTAGATTACAGACGTACTGTTGTGTAAAATGTCACAAATCTCATCACTGAAGCGAGACGCATGTAACATCCATGTATAAAAACCTTTTGAAACCCCCTCAGAAAACAAAAAAAAGTTATGCACACAAGTCTGTCTTTCAGTGTTACAAGAGTAAAATGTGTTAAAGTTCATTTGGCTGGGCTCCAACAGACTATTGTGAGAAAAAGATTTGAGAATTTAAGGCATCACATTAAAGATCTCTGAACACAAAAGAAAAGATTGATGCCAACTTTTGACATCTCATGAATACTGATAAGGATATCTGCAGAGTCACAGTCGTATGTATCCCATGCTCTAAGAAGTCAAGTAAATCTGTCTCTGAAGCTGCTGCTTTAGTCATCCCCAATTCAGAAATGATCTTGCAAATGGGCATGTCAGTCCGTAGAGTGATCACAGTCAATGTAGCATGTGGCCCTGCAATGCCATCCCACTTTTCCCATGTCCTGTGATGAGAAATATGTCAGGATAACTGGGAGTAGGAGAGTGGAGTAGGTCAGTTAGAGTCTGAAGAAGCAGATTTAAGGGATACTCTGTGTGAGCGTGCCTAAAATTTGACATTAGTTATGTTAGTCATTAGATGAACGGGAGTCAGCTGCTTTTGGTGCGTTTGACGTCTCTCTGCTCTTGCATACGCACTGGCCATTTGTGCAATGCATGTAAAAGGTCATGGGTCATGGCGAGTATTTAAACAGGCATCAGCTGAGACAAATATAATTTCTTAAGAAACCTAAGTCCCCCATGTACATGTAATATTTGCGAAAAAAGCACTGTGTATGAACAAAAACAACAACAGCGTCTTATACACTCCACAAACTCCTTCAAATAGCAAGTGGGTCAACACATAAACACACACACACTCTCACACACATACATCATGGCATCAAGGTCATGTCAGGCTGGTATATAAATATAGAGAGAGCTCTCACGGGCATCTCGATCAGTAGGACATGAAATAACTCTTCAAGTCTGACAGTTTGCCCGTGTCCCGCTCCAGTAGCCCTTCTCCGCCTTAAACCATGTTTCCTTCCTCTTGTCTCCCACATCTAGATTCATGGTATCTCCTAAATAAAACAAGGCGCATGCTTGCAAGTGCACCAGGACAGTGCACTCGCAAGCATGCGCCTCCCCCGTGACAAAGCCTTCACATCTGCGGCAGGCCTATAAAAGCCCTCGTGGTCGTGTGGTCGCTGGTTGGTGGAGTTTAATCTGCACTACTCTACAGAAGATGAATAGTAAGGTAGGAGGGAAGGTCACATACGAAGTAAGCACTTCCTCTCTTTTTTTTTCTTTTGTTTTCTTCTCTTTTTTTTCTTCTCTTTAGAAGAAATTACAATGACACTGTTGACCCACCACCCTAAGGCCTATCTTTTCACTTCCTTTTACCTGCAATTCTTGAACTCTTTCTTATGATTTTCCTGCCTGTGTGTGTGTGTGTGTGTGTGTGTGTGTGTGTGTGTGTGTGTGTGTGTGTGTGTGTGTGTGTGTGTGTGTGTGTGTTTTTTTTTTTTTTTTTTAAAGGAAATCCTTCTGAGACATCAGCAGCACCTGCAGCGACAAAGAGATGTCATTGCCTACAGGATGAAGAAGCTGGCAGCTAAGCAGGAGGAGATAACTGTAAGTCTGTCATCTTGTTTGACTTGCAAATACAACATAAATTGCTTGCTGACATGTGGGATTAGTTAGTCATTTCTCACCTTTTTTGCCATTAGATTGCCGGCTAACATCAAACAAACACCACATGGGGGGAGAAAATGTGACTTTGCAATCAGTAGTGTCTGTACCTTCTCCACAGATAAGATCAAAATGTAATAAACGTTGGTGAGAAGGGTCTGAATTCTTTGGGGTATTACATCAAAAACAACGGAGAGGTTGGCCAATGTCGTCCCATAAGAGGCAGTGTCTGCTGTGGACATTATGTTCCACAACATCCCAAGGGTCATTGTCACATTCCTAAAATCATGATGCATGCTGTGTAACCTGAAGCCCTCATTTGTTTAGTTTGTTCAGTGCCTCATATTCTTGATTTTAGCTGACAGCAGTGGAGCATATGTCTTTGTGCTGCTGAAGCACATTCACCTCAAGGGTAAATGAGTTATGGATTGTGGAGTTATGGATCCTGCCAATTTTTTTTTTGTTTTGTTTTGTTTTTTGTTTTGCCATTTTCCTGTGCTCTTCCATCGACTGGCTTGTTTTTGTTTATTGCACTCTGTAGAATCTGTGCTGCCTGGAAGCTCATTTTATAGTTACTTTCCTTGTTGCTCATGTGCCAAATTAACATACTGTGCTCTGAGCTGAAATGATTAGACAATTAATTGATAAGTCTTTTGGCAGAAAATGAATCTGCAACTATTCTGATAATCATCATCAATCATCTAAGTCATTTTCAAGCGAAAACATCCAACAGTTGCTGCAATGTATATCCTCAGTTGTTAGGATCAGCTGTTTTTCTTCATCATATGTGATAGTAGAAACTGATATTCTATAGGCCACACAATTAACGGATTGATTGAGACAATAATTGTCAGTTAACTGAGAATGAAAATAGCTCTATTGTGTTCGGTGGTTATATTCATGATCTCACAATGGATATAATTGTGCCAATATGGTTCACTGTTACAAATGTATTTCTCTCATCTTAGAAAAAGACTAACGCAGTGAAGGAGAAAATCAGGAAGAAGTATGAGGACATGAAGAGGGTCTTGGACGAGGATCTTCGTATCACTCTGACTCAGCTGGACACAGAGCACGAGGCCACAGAGAAGTTAGTGGAGGAGAGGATAGAGGACTGCTACCACCTCACCCAGGAGCTGAACCAGGAACTGGACAACCTTAGCGCCCACGTGATAAAGGACACGCAAGAAACTGACTTTCAGGTTAACACAAGGACGAATTTAAGTTGTGATTTGAGGCAACACATTTTACTGCGTGTCTCAGGCTCTTTCAGTGGTGTAAAGATCAGTGATTATGTCTTCTCTCTTATATCTTCTACAGACTGCTGAAACAGAAAAAAGGTATGTTTACACTTCAATATAAGCAGCTACAGAATCCTCTTGTGTGAGGTTAACATGCTCATGTTTGATTAGGCACCTACAGTAGATCAGCCTGCATCAGTAGCTACCAAACATACCACACACCTTTCTTCTGACAAACTGAAAACACCAAAGTGGAAAATTCAAACAAAATTGGAGTTGCGTAATTTATCTAGAACAGTTACTCACAGGGCACAGCAAGTTTCCCACTGACACAATATTAACACTTTATTTTTATAAACAACATTTCCTTGTCAATGTGAAGGACAGACTGGTTCCTATTTAACACTACACGTGATCACGCTCATATAGCAAATTTCAAATTAAAATGCTACGCTTATTAAATTCTATGACTCATGTATATTTATTATTTGTTGTTAGAACTGTTAAATAATAGAACAATTATCATTAGAAGTATTTGTCAGTGTCAATTCTAAATGTCTCATTATTGTTTGTTTTCACAGTTATGTTTGCATCAAGTATATGTTCATATTTGTGCGCGGTAATTGGGAAATTCGTCACATGGGTTATTACTGGTTTAATTGAAATGACAAAAGCGAAGACTTAATTGATGTTTGCAGCCCGGTGAGTGGTAGCAACTGTTTTGTTTTGTTTGTGTTTAGAATTTCTGAGACTCTGAAGCTGACTGACCCTGACCTGATCCAGATGGATGAGTTCAAGAACGAACAACTGCTGAGTCTTACCATCAACCTGCTGCTGTTCATCAGATCCCAGGTCCCTGTCACCAAGAAGCTGTTTCAGAGCTGTGAGTTCACCCAAAAACACAGGAAGACTGACATGTGAAGGAGTCTTGCTCCCAGCTATGTCAAAGGTTGCGACTCCACTCAATTTTTCTGATGTCTCTCACACAGATGCTGCAGATGTTGTCCTCGACGCTGACACCGCACACCCCAAGCTGATTATCTCTCCCAAAGGTGACTCAGCCACCTACATAGACACCTGGCAAGATGTCCGTGAGACTCCCACCCGCTTCAACAACACCCTAAACGTAATCAGCCAGGAGGGCTTCAGCGAGGGCCGCCAGTACTGGGAGGTGGAGGTGAGTGGGAAGACCTACTGGGAGCTGGGGCTCACCTACCCGAGCATCCCACGCAAAGGCCGCGAGGAGGAATGCTGGCTGGGCCGAGGCAAAGAGTCTTGGTGTGTGGAATACTTCAATGGAGACTACACTGCGTGGCATGGTGGTGTGCAGCATGAGCTGCCTCTGCTGGCAGGAAGACAGTTCACACGCATTGGGGTATACTGCAGCTTCCCCGGGGGGTTGGTGTGCTTCGTTGGAGCTGATACGATGACCCCCCTCCACTGCTTCTGTGCCGGGACCTTCACTGCCACTTTATATCAAGCGATATGTCCTGGTCATGACAATGAGGGCACAAACTGGAAGTCCCTTAAAATCTGTGATGCTTCCCGATCACCTCCTGTTCTCTGAGCTGGGGCATTCAGGCAGGAAGAATGGGGGCAGAGGTGGTCAAGAATGTGCTGCACCCCGGGGCATGCGCATCAGGTGCCTGATCAGAGTTGGTGCATGTCAGGTTAGTCAAAATACCTTGGAGGTGAACTTTTCAGGTCTATATCAATGTTAAATCAGGTGTGGTTCATTTCCAGTCATTCATGCCTTTCTTTATAGTGGACATACCGAAGCTAACGTGATGTAAGAGCTGCTCCCTCTTACCTCCACCTTTGGCAAAGGGTAGTTTATTTTTAAGCCATGATGAATCAGAATACATAGATGAAGAATTGAGGAAGACAGAAGTTGAGTTGCCAAAGAAAGAAAGAATAATAAATAACCTTTTATTTCAGACCTGCTTTTAGCACCTGATCAAGATTTTGGACTTGTCTACCATGGCTTTAACTTTAGGAGTAAAGCTGGTGTTATTCTATATTTTTCTTCTTATCAATTCATCTCATGAAAATACAAAAAGCAACAATGCATTAGTCCACCTCTGAATACTTTTAAACTTTCAAACCCAGCCACAAGCCCATTTGTTTCCATTAAAACTTTTAAAATGATATTTTTTAAGATATACAGTATATTAACAGCCATACGTAATTTCCTAAAACAGCTGGGTACCGTGAATCATGTTAATTAGGCTATCATATTACTCAAACAGCAGTAAACAGTGCATTTGTTGGGGACTACTTTTAGTTGTGGATTGATACACATTTAGTGCTCTAGTGACTATTTACAATAGCAAGATGCTCTGTGTTCAACTCAAAATTAACACTGCCATATTTATCATAATGAAGCAACATGTCACTCAGCTCAACAGTGTGGCTCACTGATGTGTTTTAATAGTTTTTGCAAAGCAATAGGGTCTATGTGGCAGAGGAATAAGCTATACCAGTCTTTCTTTACATAAATGTACAAATATTATAAACTCATTGTTGGTTTTGGTTTATTATGGGATTTGTATACCATACGGAAAATATAAATACCTCCAGCTTTATCCTTCAAGGTTAAACAGAAGGCTGACATGGTTTGTCTAGTATTAAAACTATGGACTGCTAAAAATTTAACCTAACGCCGAGAGTAACTTCTTACTTTTAAGAGTCTTTAATATTTGGTGAAGTAAATTAAAATAAATGTGTTAATTGTATCAATATCATCCTGGTGTCAAAAAATAGTAGCCTTTCAATGTGGTCTGTGTTTACAGATGTGCAAGAAAAAATGACACACAACTTATTACACAATAAATTCTTTATGTTTAATACAATAAATTGTTTACATAAGCATTCCTCTGTTTTGAAGTTATTTAAACAAGGTATTGCCCCAAATGAATAAAATATCGGGCCAGATTATAATTTCAATGTAATTCATTCATTCATTTTTCCAAATATTTTCAAATATATTCCTGAGGACAACAGCATTTAACACCGGAAAGCATTAAAATTTTACCCCTAAAAATAATTTTTTCCCTCCTTCAATTCCATTCCAAAACAAGTGGAGCAAACACTCCTTTCAGCACAGGTTGGGCACCACATCACTGATCAGAGATCCATGTGTCGAGAGGGCTCAAGAGTTGTGGCTGTATTGGACAAGAATGGGCAATGCCAGTATTGATCACACTCCTGGCACCTATAAATATTATGTAAGTGTTATTAAAATAATTAAAAATGACTGATAAAAAAATACAAAGCGAGAAAAGGAGAAAGTGTAATAAGAAAATGAAAGCTACTGCTGACCTTTCCCCCTAAATTATATACATGCAATCGTGAATAATTTAAAAACATTGCAGCAACAGTGTGTGTGTGTGCGCGTGTGTGTGTGTGTATTGCAGACATGTGGATTGTGTATGTTCAGACTTGTCACCACCAGTAATAGCTGCCTCTGTGAATGACAGACTTGGGAACAATAAGAGTGTATCTGCATAAACAAACTTTGTGTAAATTGTAAGGACCAGCAGCAAATGTCTTTTATATATGAAACAACATATTTTCAGATTTTACCATATAATTTGTCATAGTAATTCACTTACTAAATTATGCAATATTTTTGGAAAAAAACTTGGCAAAGTGCACAAAGTGCTTAAAAATAATATATAAATCTATTTTATTTTTTTATTTTTAATCGTTTGGGTTTTTAAAATCACTCGAAAGCAAATCTCAATTTTTAAAGTTAGAATAGTAAGACATTGCTTGGCACCTGTTACTACAGTGTAGAGTATGACAATGTACAACACTAATATACAGTGAAATGATGTGGCATTTGTGCTTTGGGCCCCAGTCCAGCTTTACAATATGATATTTCCCAAGTTTATAACAGTTTTAGACATTCTTAAATTCTCTATCTGGTGTAAAAACCCAGCAGCGTGTATTCTATCATTCCATAAAGGTATTTAAGAGGAATGTCTAATTTGAAAGATTTCAAAAAGGGAAATTCATAAAACTGATTTGACTAATAAATAAGACAAGTGCATTATTTTTGATCGGATGCAAATACACGAACTTCACCTTCTCGTGCTTGAATGACAAGCAAGTGAAGTCTTCAACATCACGCTGTGAAAACTCGCAAAATTGCAAATGATTATTGCCTTCATGGGGGTGGACTATGAACTATGCACTTGACCCAAAATCTCATAGAACTAATCACTACACAGCAAAAGATCACACCTTCCTAGCCATACGTATATGAAATTCTTTAACATTACATTTACCCACTTCATGGGACATTAAAGAACCTGAGGATGCCAGCATGCTGCTACCAACTTAAACTTGCTAGGAAGGCTGAGACACTGAGCCTTTGGCAAGAGCATCGTGATATGTTTCTGCTCAGAGGAGTGTTGTCTTTTTCTTTTGTCTCTTTTGTTTTTGACAACTGACAGCTGAAAACATTAAAACACGGATAGCTGAAAATGATCTAATCCATTTTCCAGATGATAATAACAATTCAGTGTTTATAATCAAGGCAGGTCCCTCATCTCTCCCATTTGAATTTGTAATCACTCTATTCACTCTCATAGAGAAAATTTCTATACACCTCTTAGTGCATCTCAAAAGAGCCTTCACTTATTGTTTTTTAAAAAATCATATTGTATAAATATAAAAGGACAAGATGAATTAATGCTTTAAAACATTCAACTCTCACCTAGTTTATAATTTATTTTACTGTGTAATAGTGATAGAGTATTGTACACTCTACAGATGCACTGGACTGCATTAGACAGGTTTATGATCAGTTTCTGGAGAGACTACTCTCAGAACAACAATTATTTCAGTTACTCAGAAGCTGATTCCATGGCAGTAATTGCTACTGCCAACTTTTACCCGTCCTTGCTTGCCCTTGTCCAGTAGGTACAGTCCCTTAAAACATCTACTGCAAATGCTGGAAAATAGAGAGACACATATTCAGATATGATTCCCCAAACCCACAAAAACTGGCAGCAAATTTTCCGGGCCGGTAGAATAACATGGATATTTCACAATGCCTGTCGACAAAGATCAGATCAAATGTGACGCCATTTTTCTGAAGAACAACCTGAAGAAGTGGAATAAATTTCACCATCAACACATGAACGCGGAGTGCCACTGTAAAATTTTTTTTTTTTCTTACGAGTGCTGGTTTTCGGGCCCAACTACACATGCAAAATGTTATGTGCTCCGAATGTGCAGTGTCCTGCTGGGCCTGAATCATCCCTGAATGCTTTGACCGCTTAGCCAGTACCTGAAACAGTCAGTCTAGTCAGTCAGTCAGTCAGTCTTTGATAGCATACAGTCCGGTCAGTTAGGTTGGCGGTCAGTTGAAATACAGTTCTTTCGTCAGCATAGAGACCACGCAGGGAATCTGCTTCTTCTCACTGAAGCGTGGGTCTTCAGACCAGGACTCAAAGCTGGTGGCCACCATGTAGTTGACCCGTGTCAGGATCTGCATTATCTCCAGCTGCTTGCCAAACTCGTTGAGGACGTTGCAGAGCGCCTGGACAAACCAGGAGCCGCGTCCAGGGTTCCTCCATGAGTAATACCCTGGAAAAATCAACACGAGTCACCACTGAAGCAATGCTGATACGTCCAGCGCAAGAACATCATACATACCCAAAACACTTTTGGCAATAAAAACATATACTTTAAAATGAGACTTCACTTCAAATCAGCGCTTTACCTGGCACAGTGGAGTAGGCAAAGAGGAAATCTGCCTCTACAGGGATCTTATGTCTCGGATTAGCATCGGTCTCCAGGGTGTCGTTCGGCGGACCCGAATCTGTCTGTATACCATCATCAAATTCGGAACCCCGACAAGCCTGGTGAAGTAAATGAAATGACATTTCATTGTGATCCTGAGTAGCTTTCTCAACGATGACCTGGTGAAGCAATTAAAACATTAACTATTTTTAAAAGCTGGGATGGGCAAATTTTTTTTTTTTTACACAGCAACCATCATCTGTCCATGGGGAGCTACTGCAAGCCATTCAAATCTGTCCTCTCAACAACAGCAACTGCAAAAGTTAAATTTTTTGTCATTCAACCTCTAGGCTGACCATCTGGGCCAAAGGTTGTTGGTTTGATACATAAATCTATGAGTTGTCAACAACTGTAGCATTAATGTTAGATAACCACTACATTTTTTTTTGTATATCACGTCATCATTTATAAATGAAAGTCTTCAGAGCTGCGTACCTGGATGAAGAAGAGTTTTGGCTTTCCGACTAAGCTTTTGCACATGTCCCCCCTGAACAGCGAGGTCATGGTCTTGATGGGCATGGCTCCATCTGTGCCGTAGATCATGCCCTCCTCACCGTGGCTTAGCAGGATACAGGCGAAACACGAGCTGTCACTATGGTCTTCCTCCGAGGCTGACCCATACACACACAAACAAATACTCAACGCTTAGCTCGGGCCTCGTGAAACTTCTCTAAATTAATGTGCAATCTCAGTAACTTAATGGCCTCATCTAGAATTCCTTTAGCCGTTCACCTTTTACATTTATAATGATATTAAAGAGTTTAAAACCACTTGTGTACAAAATGCCATGTTTGTCCTCAGGGGAGCATTATTGTGTAGATGAAAATTAATTGTAATCTTTCTATTAGATTTTGACATTTCTTGTGTAGAACTCAAATTTTTTGGCTTTTTGTTGACACTGGAAAAAAGGTTATGCGTATCCAAAATCATTAGGATCTGTCCATTGGGCACCATGAGTATAAATAATAATGTCATGAAAATCCAGCCATTAATTTTACAAGAGACTGTGAGACAAAATGTTGCTAAAGGTGATGATAATGATAAAGGTTTGAATTGATTGTAAAGCAAGAAAAAATTATTGTGTTTCATTCTCCAGGGCTCAACATTATCAGTACTGAGATTAATGGCATCTGTCCGGTAGCTGTCTGGCTGACAGACATAAAGACAGACTGGAAAACTACCAGCAACTGTACAGATTCTAAAGAATGGCAGGCATTAAAATGTCACATTGTATAAAACAAAAGGTTCACTGTAGTTTCTATAGGCAGATGTCATGAGAGGTGACCTTTCAACTGTCTTCACAATTCAAGGTCAAAGCCATGCTAGTCACTAGCATTTAGGCAATTAGTTTCACAACGGCCCCACCTGGTGTCTGCCCTGGTGATTTTAGGAAAAAATACAACATTCATTAAGATTAACAGTCTTAAAAGTGAACTTGTGTGTAGACAGCCGCTAGTGAGAGCTACAGAGGATAGCTGAAATTTTCAAATTATCAACAAGTTCAAATTATCGGCAATCACTACATAATGAAGGCTAGATGCATGCCCATATTGAGCCAGAGAAAATGTTTATGTTTATGTGCATCAATAAAGGCATTTTTATGGTGGGCCATCATTCCTTTCAAGATTACTAGATCTGCCAGCAACTACTGTGAGACCAACACTACGCGGGAACAACCATTTTCTTGGGCATGTTTTCCATGTTGTACATAGACAAAGTTCAAATGACCTTATCTGTGACCGTGGGAACCGTGGTTGTTTTATACTTTGTCCAGTTTGAGAGAAAGAGGCGAGGATGAAAAATCTTAGGTGCCAACACTGAGCGACAGAGGGCTTTACTACTCACCTTCTCTGAGAAGACGCTCCATCTTCTCACATGTCTGATCATTGTAAATACAGACATCGAAGCCCAGGCTCTTGAAGCACTTGAACAGCTCACCTGCGTCTCGGTCCGTGCCATTGCGTACATTCATCCCTGTCGAAACAAGATGCTTAGAATACGCGCTCTTTATGCAATAATATTGAGCAAAATTAGATGTGTGATGTCTTTGAAACATGTTTGCTGTACCTGTCTTTTCATCAAAGTTTTTGTTGTTGATGATGATGCACTTGCCCACTCGCTGGTGGCTCATCTTATACTGGAATGTTGGTGAAACAATTCTGTAATGGCTTTCAGAAGAGTAGTCCTGCTCCCGCGTCTGGCCATCCTTATTCTTCTTACTAGAGGAATCAGAGAGAAATAAAATATTAAGGCAAAATACAACACTACACTACTGCAATATTATTTACTTATGAGCAGTAACACAGACATTCTTAAGTTCAACTACATTTTCAAAAGACAGAATATAAAATAAATGTACACAATGTAACAGATAACATTCATAACAATATTCCTATGTTTTTTTTTTTTAGATCAAACATAAATAAGACTAAAAATAGGAATGAAAATGATAATATTCATAAGAATAACAAATACACTGGCCTTTCAATTAAAAAAAAAAAATTATGATCCAGTCAAGCCTAAATTCTTAGATGCTACAAGTTTGAAAAACATGCTAATCTTTAAGTCCATAAGCTCAGATAGAACTTCCATAATGTTGACTCTTACTGTACATGACAGCGTCTTGTACATCAAAAGTTTCCAAGAAAATATTCTTGGCTCTTAAAGAATATGACAGTGTCTTCTAAGCTGAAATGTTTTTACACATAGCAGTTACTTCAGCACAAGTAAATGTACATCCAATACAAGTAAAACTCACATGAAACTGAAAACACTCTGAACCACTTACTCCGAAACCAAAGAGTACATACATTTTCAAATAAGGCATTAATGTCACGGCCAAATTTGGTTGCAGTAATCCACCGTCAGGTTAAAGAAGAAACTAGAACATTTTCGCTCTGCGCAGATTTTAAAAAATTATAACCACATCAATGTAGATTGAGCGAGAGGAAATCTTCCACGAGTGGCAATTCTCACAGACCTGTCATATTTCCATTCTTTAAAAGATCCATCCAGATAGCTAAGCCAACAGTGGCCCACTGGGGGCTCACAAAATCCAGGCTTGTTCCAGAAGAGCCTAGTCATCAGGTTACTCAAGCATGGGAACAATACACAGCAATGCGAACCAACAGTCTCATGCACATACACTCACAGGCAGCACAGCCATATTCTAACAAACATGTGATCCAGAACTTTTTGAAGCCCCCCTCCCGCCTCCGAATTGTGCCAACATACCGTACCAAACAATTGCACGAGGGTGGGCAAAGAGCTTCAACTCTGTTTTCCTGTGGGCTGGGCATGGCAGAAAGAGCAGCAGGTAGGAGGACGGTGAAGAGGAATATGAGGCGGTTCGGTCGGTCTTACCTGGGTTCGTCATTAAGCGCTACGCCACTCTGCATCTGAAATGCGTTGGTTTTGTCTCGTTTCTTTTTTTCCCCCAAAAGAGTATGTTTCTCCAGACCTGGCAGCTTAATTTTTGGCTGTGTGCTAGGATACTGACATGCTCTCTGTACTGGATGGAGACCTGACTGGTCCAGCGGGTGCTGAGGACAGGGGCGGCGCACTGTGGCCCCCTGAGTCAGCACCCTCGCCACCACACCAGCGCTTTCTAAAGGCCTATTCACACATGGCCCCTGCACCTCGCTCCCTGCTGAGGTCAGACAGGGCAACAAGTTGCTCCTCTGCTGACAGGCACAGAATCCACCTGTACCGACATACATACTGTGAGTGCCTGACTATAAGGAATACAACTAAAAAAACATAAATTCCTGAGAACCCTCATTAAACACCTCAACATACTACAACTAACCAAAGACTCTTTGAGATGAATCATTTCTGTGATGGTTAAAACAAGACTTGGCTGAAATTCAACCACTTAATGATTATGATTATCATAATTGTCTTGATTATCACATGATTATCATCATTGTCTTCATTATATTATACACAATTTCTTTAGAGATGACTCAGCATGACATGCATGACTAAAGAGGGATCACAATTTGATCTTTTGAAACACACTCTCATACTGTAAATAAGGTGACATTAGTCTTACATCATACTTGTAAATATAGCGCCCATGTTTGTCATAAAGTAGCCATGACTAGCGGCTATGCAAAACACAAACTCAACAGATTGGGAATACAGTTTTTAAATGTTAAATGTTAAATGCTAATTTCTTCATATACTATGACATATTTTGTATTTAAACAATTTGATTTAATAAAGACACTCTCTATAGTATATAATATGAGAATCTTCTTAATGTAGTTTTATGATTTAAAAAAAAATAAAAATCATCCATTGTTATCCTGACAGTTTGGAGTAAAAACCTAAATACCTGACAGAGGACACAGACTTTGCGTTTGGTTACCAGTGTCTGGAAGAAACATGGATGACAAATGTCCCTCCAATACAAAGGCTCACAGTGCCACCTTGTGAGTCAGACTGGAATAAACAGAGGCTACTCCCTTAATGATGCCTTGTTTACACCTTTACAGAACAACGTCAGGCACAAGACGTTATAACAAGGCCCACACTCTAGGATTTAATGACTTTTTTAGACCCTGCTGTAGTACAGTCTAATTTTGAGCAGCCACTCGAGGACTGACCCCAGTCCCAAAATTGAGTTTTAAGATTGTGTTCACGTTCCTTGCCCCATTATACTAATTAGACTATCCAAAACTAGGTTGCTGTGTCAAATCAAGGGAATATCTCTTGTTTTTTAAAGTTTTGATTAGTTGAGGCAAAGAGGAACCAATGTCACCTTCATGTACAGAACTGTTAATCTTACTGAAAGTGCATCCTTGTGTGAATTTTGTTATGCTTTCTCATTGTAATAGGTAACTGTTTCAGCAAATAAGTGTCTATGCACATTTAGTTTTACATTATTTGAGAAGAGGTACAATTATAATATGAAACTTACATGCCAAAAACAAAGCACAGCCCATTTCTGTTTCTTCTAAACTGCAGAATAAAACAGTAAACTGTACTTGTTATTTCAATGGCACAACAAGATATGGGTGCTTTATCAAACTATCATCTGTTGCTTAATATGTGTGTATTTTGGTTGTTGATATTTTCCTAGTGATTATTTTTATCTGTTGTAATTTCATTTGTGTAACATTGAGAAGGCTGTGCATAACTAGATATGCATGACTTGACTGCTTTGCAGCTGCAACCCTGTTCCTCTTTCTTCTGGTTGTTATTCTCTATTAAATTACGTCACTCTGTTTTTTTTTTTTTTCAACCTTTCGTCCAGTATTAACTGTCTTCTTCACTGACAGGGTTGCTCAGCAATTGGTGGTTTGTCTTTTTTGTTCCCCTTTTTCCACTGGTACTGTTCTATTCTCACTAACTAGGGAGAGAATGATAATGAAAGTGAAAGCTAAAGCTAAAGAACAACGCATATTCATATAGATGGTCTGCTGAAGTGAATTTAAGTGAATTCAATCCCTTAAGGCCTATACTATGTGAGTCTCCCTCATGGATGTATAGGTTTCCCTCTGCAGACACAGTAAATGAGTTGAAAAGGAAGTCACCTCCCAAACAGCAGAAATCTCCCCCTGCGGTCAGGTTTGGCATCTGTCGCGTCTCCTTCTTCTCCTTCATCTCCCAGTTCAGGTCTCTCAGTAGGTTCTCCAGCCATCTGCAGTTACCACACGTATTGCACTTTAGATTATGGTTTGCATTGTTTCAAAAACAACTGTGCTATGGCTAACATTATTTTAATGCTAACTTCGCTGCATTATTTCCCATTAATCACTGCTAACGTCAACAACGGTTATAAGCGGCTGTTCAAACGGGTTAAAAGCATTATAAACTATTTTCTAACTAAACTGCCACTACATTAAGTCGTTAGTTCAATCATCAGTGTAATAAGTTAACGTTATTAGTGAAACCCAACTTGCTAGCTGGGCAGTCCGATTAGCACAAACACAAACTGCCAAGACTCGCTAGTTTAAAACAAACCTACTTTCAGCGTTAGCATTAACTTACACTCTATTATTCGTGTATTATGCTCTGTCAGAGTAGTTATGGCGCAAAGGTTGGCACTGAGTCATTTCCTTTACTCACAGTTTTCGTCAAGTTTCTGTTCCTTGGAAAAGTTAGTAAAGAAAACGAAAGTACGTTCAGCCACAATTCCCATGGTGCGTAAGGACGTCAGAGCTCTGCGTCACACAGGTCTGCCAGGTTTGACCATGGATGTGAGTTTGATGTTCATATGAACATGTGAAGACCAGGTACGCAGTCAGTCATATATATTTGAAATTAAAATTATACACCATAATAAAACATCGTTAACTATCTGAATAGCAATGAGACATCATAAGAGAGTAAAGAAACACCCCAAAACATTGTATAGTTATTGTACACTCACTTTCATTTTGGAGCTATGTTTTGAAATTGTACCATAAACGCTGACAGGTATCTCTATTATTTTGTACACCTCATTTATGTCAGTGAAAGTATCTTAAAAACTGTATAAACCATATATGTCCATGTCCCAACAACACAACATTTATTCCAGCATTACCATACAACAAGCAGACAGTAACAGTTTGCCCATACTTCTTCCTGCTCTTTGTTCTATTCTAACTACTATACAATGTATTACACTCTCATTTCTCAGTGTCGTGGCAAAATGCCCAAAGTTGAACTAGCTGTCCAACTCAGGATCATTACACATATACAGTGACATCTGAACTCCCTGTCACTCTCTGTCTCTCTCTCTCTCTTCCTGCAGACAGACAGCTGGGCCCGACCAGTCTTCTAGCATGAGACATGGAAGGGGGTTGGTCCAGCATCGGACATGGTGTCAAGTAAGAGACAGTTTCAGAGTTTCACAGTCACAGAGCTAAGTTTACCGCCATCAGAGAAGGACTATCACCACTGTCCGGGAGTCACTGCCAGTTCCTCCACTAAACTCCTGCCTGCCTGCCTGCCTGACCTGACGCTGGTTCTTGGCCAGTATCTCATTCAAGTTTCATTTTTCTGAAGGTTTTTTGGGAAAAGGACAAGCAGTCACCATGCAGTCCTGTGCCAGGTGTAGGTTTGTGGTCTACCCCGCTGAGAAGATCAACTGCATTGACCAGGTAAAACCGAAAGATCGTTAGAACAAGTTTCTAGAGATGCTTGAGTGACAAATTTAGTCTTAAATATCTATTCTGAAATACTTTCAGCAAAAGCAACTTTAAAGTAAAAGTAACAGGAAAGTCATTACACATGTAAGAGTATGGTACAAACAGAGACCAAACAAGAGAATGGTGGCACTAGTTTTTATATGTAATATGTTCAAAATCCACCTTTTACAAAACACATAAAATTAGGTGTTTGGAGGCATTTGGAGATATTTTATAATAATAATCCAACCCAATTATTTACCACTGAAAAACACAGCAATTTATCTATTTCTGTGTCAAATACAGCACATGTGTCAGTGTGCAAAAAGGTGTCAATAATGGAATACAGCATCTGCCAAACTGTTCTTGAAAAATACACAAAAAAGTGTATAAAGGCTAAAATTACATCCCACTTAATATACAGTTTTTAATGTACTATATGGGTCTGAGCATATGTTTGATCCAAAACACGAAGCGATTCCTTCTCACAGACAGATTATTGATGTAACATGTTTTACCACTTGCAATATTGTAACTGCTTCAGCATGAAAAGCATCCTTGTATTTTTACATTGATTGGTGTCTGTGATGCGATGTCTTTTTAAAGAAAACAAAAAAAAAACTTGTTAGACAGAAATGAAGAGGTATACAGTTTAACAGCCAGATAAAAGCTACATCTGAGAACGAGTCAGCGAGTCCAGTTGGAAGAACACACTGTGACCGCTGTCGTTATTTTGGGCCTAGTTCAATTAAAGCTATCTCATTAATCTGTGTAAAATTACCTGTGCAAAATGTTTTTTTATTTTCATTTTATGTTCCCAGTATGATAAGCAACATTGAAGTCACGTTTCCTAAGTTTGAGATAAGAGCTTGGATGCTTAGAATAACGTGATTTGTCTTTTCATCTGTCAGAACTGGCACAAAGCTTGTTTTCACTGCGATGTCTGTAAGATGGTTCTCACCGCCAACAACTTTGTCAGCCACAAGAAGAGGCCATACTGCTCCGTGTAAGTATGAGGCACCAGTAACACCTGATATTTTAAGTTTTGATTTGAGCATAGTCCCAAAATCTGATCAAACATCAACCTTTAGGTTCCATTTTGGCATGAAAATAGATCCCTTCCTTTTTTACAATGGCACTTATTGATGACCATTTCTATACTCCGTCAGACACAATCCGAGGAACAACACGTTCACAAGTGTCTATGAGACGCCCATCAACATCAATGCGAAGAAGCAAACCAAGGCGAGCAGTGAGGTATGATGATGTCACACGCAAAAACACAGCAGCAGCAACATGAGATGAAGTATTTTGGCCTTGGTCTAACTCAAGGTGTATTACTGACAGGCTGACATAAGTCACTGTCTATGCCACGTGAGAAATGATCATTCATCAGTGGTTGGTCATGACTGGATTTGCTGTGGGGATTGCTATTCAGAGTGGTCATTGTGTTGGTTTAGATCATCATTGATGTTTTAAAAAAAGGGATTGATACATGCATTACAAATTAATTTAAATAGACCCTCATTTGTTTATAGTAAATCAATGTTATTCATAATAATAATAATAATAATAATAATAATAATAATAATAATAATAATAAAATTCATAATAGAATGATAAGATTTTTTGATGGATACGTTGTTTTAAAATCCCCAAATCTAGTTGAAAAACAGCCAATTCTGCTTTTCAGTGTTTCACTCCGTATCACACAAAGCCACTGGTGACATCACAGAGGACTCAGCTCTATTGACCTGTAAACATACATATAGCCAGAAAGCTCAAGAGCCGATCCTAAGCACATGTATCCCGTTCTGTCAGATCCAAAAGATCTCATTCCCACTTTACAAGTTGCCAAAGAGAGAGAGAGAGAGAGAGAGAGCGAGAGAGAGAGGTGGACTGCTGCTCTGAGTCACTGGTGACGGCAGTGGTGTGGAATGGAGAGTGCGGCTCGGGTTATTTCTGTGACTGTGACAGAGGCGAGACAACCCCTCTGCTGAGCCCACTTTATGCTTCAGGGGGCTAAAATTATAGGTCAGGAAAAACAGCCTCACATCCCTTCCTCTCCTCTGCCCTGCCACCTGTTCCTGTCTGTCTGAGTCTGTCGCCTGTGTCTACGAGTTCATGCAGTGCTCCTAGGCTTATATTAGCAGTAGGCTAGCGAGCTCATCAGCTACTGTTATATGCCACTAGAGAGACATAGGACTTAACTTGTTGATATTTGATCTGAGGGCTGACCTCAGACCATGCTGAAAAAAATGCTCTAGTTAACAGGCAATGCTTTTGTTTTTATATTTTCATTATTTTTTCTTTTTAATGAGATTGACTTGTTTTCGCTGAGTTCTTAAAATTTGGCTCTGGTGTAAAATTTAACATAGTTTATGGTCTGATACAAGAATGAGTTTATTGTTCGCCCTTTAGCGATGATGCTCCAGAGAAGTCATTCATCAGTGCTGTCTTGTATCCCCTGCAATACAACTATTCTAATATTAGTTTCGAACGCTTCAACGGCTTAAGGATGATTAGCAAACAGCTCAGAGATCCATCACTCAGTGCTCCATTCTGGATCCTTCCTAGCAGGTCCAGCTTCATCTCGATTGGAACATCTTAGTTATTAATAACAGCACGCTAATATTATCCCTTCATCATTAAGAATGGGAGTTGCAGGTTGTCTGGGTTCAACCTGACTACATAAGAATAGAGTGATGTTTGGTGCTGTGGCTCTGAAGTCAGGGTAATATCAGTCAGGGCTGTCAGGTTTTGATTATTACTTTTTGTTGATTCTGTGCATTAAAACACGCACGTAGATGCTGCAAACACATGTCTAGTGCGCGCATGTGCAACTGTGTGCTGGCCTTGGCTTAATGCTTGTCGTCTATGTGCACTTGTAGCTGAAGTATCGCGAAGATGGCGAGCGCTTTATGTCCACCTTCCACTATGACATGAGGTCCATGGAGCTGGAGAAGGCTCTCCTAGCCAAACAGATGGCCAGCCAGGTGAGCTCCCGGCAGAGCAGCTGGCCTTTACCCCCAGTCAAAAAGAGTTCAAGCCCAAATCTTGATCTTTACTCAAGTAATAAAAAGTAGTTCATCCGTTTGTTTTACATGTCTTTAATATATAAAGCAAACAACCCTTCTCCTCTACACTTTTGTCCCTTGATCTTTACAAATAAATGTGTGCAGTGATCCGAGATATTACAACCAATTATCAAAAGTAATATTTGATTTAATTTGATTTGGAAATGTTGGAAGTGTATGATTTCAGTGATCGTGGAGGACAGTGGTATAGTAAAGCCTTTTAACAGGCTGTACAATAGATTTTAATGCATAAAACCTCATCTCCTCTCTCTTCTATTTGGTAAACAACTCCACAACTCTGCTGTACAGACACAGGTTTATTTGCTCTTGTTACCATCACTTGATAGAGGCTACGTAAACCAGAGAAGAAGTAGACAGGGTTGGGTGGCTGATTTAATTCATTTAAGGAATGAAATAGTACAGTGAATGTATGAAAATGATCAGCTTTGTTTTCAATGTCCAAACAGGCCTTTCATTCTCAGTCTGAGTTCTCACAGCAGCAGACATGGTATTCAGGCATGGTGACCAGCCAGGAGATAGTAACAATGTCTCAGGCACAGAAGGCCGTCAGTGATGTGAGTACACTTTTTGTTCCCTCAACAAAATTTTTTAGGGTATAAATTTTATAATACACGGTTATTGTCATTTATTTTCTAATTAAAGAGACAATTCTGTTTTTATTTGATTCACATTTAACGCTCTAAATTAGTATGACAAACACAATTTAATACGAATGTCTTTTTTTGTGGTGAAGACTGGGTCAACGCTAAAACTATAAACTCTCAGTACAGGTCAAATGTCGTGACTGATTTTGTTTGGTGACAGGTGAAGTACACAGAGGAGTATGAGCAGTCCAAAGGAAAAGGCAGCTTCCCTGCCATGATCACACC